GTTTCTTAATAATGTGCTTTCAGTGGTGGACTGGGAATTCAGGGTCCTGGCCCCTAATGCTGTTGATGATGCTCAGGTACCTTTGCTCTCCATCTGCTACTCCTAATGTCTGTGTTTTAACTTGTTCTCTCCAGTTTTATGTGCTCCTTTGGGTCTTTCTGATCCAAACTGCACGGCATTCTTTCCTCCAAAAGCTTCTGGGTTTAGTTGTTCTGATTCTGAGAGCTCCCTTAGAGAAAATAATGGGGTTTTTACAAACATGTTGTATCCTGCAGTGAGGGTCGAGAGCCCTGCGGGTAAGCAAAGGTGCAGTTTGGTTTACACTCAGAGCAGGAACATGATCAACACTTGCAGGGCTGAGGATCTGAGCTGGGTTCCCAGGCTGCTTGTGGTGAGGCTGTCTGAAAGGAGATTTTAATTTCCCTGTCTGGGCCAGGTGAGTAGGTGGTTGTAACCAACTGACCTTTAAGTTTGTATTCCTGTGCTGAACTCGCAGAGGAGAGTGGAGATGTGGGTCATAGCCCCGGTGCATGGCTTTGTTTGCATTGCAGAACTGAGATTGTATCAAACACTGTTGGCAAAATTGCCACAGACAATTTCGAGATTAGCAAGATATTGCAAGAGTTATGCAGAATCTTATCACATTCTGTTACTGTGGCCTTCAGAAAGTCACTGTGATGTCCTCAGAGGTTGTGCTCTTCACTTGAGGTCCTCTTGGCTGCTGTCACCTGGGGGTGAGGGCAGCACGCCAAGGGACAGGGCACCCTGCTTGGGTTCTGCCTCTTGGGCTGACACCCCATCCCTGCCAGAACAGGATAATCTGATTGGGGAATACTCTGTGCAGAATGTTGATGTGGAATAGCTTCCTAGAGCACTTTTTTTTCACTTGGCTATGTGTGCTTTGGTTTAATCCACCAGCGATGAAAGTAAGAATCAGCCCGACTCTTAACTTGGTTTCAATTGCTGGGAGATTCAGGAACAGCCTGGTGTGGTTAGGCTTGCTATAGCCAACACTCTGACCCTTCTGTTACGTAGATGACAAACACTCGATTTGGCTTTGGAACTGCAGATCCTGGTTATTTCCCGCAGTAATGGGGAGAGTTAAGAGCAGTGTTTGGGTGACCATGTCCAGCACACCAGGCTCTGTGTGTGAGTTTTCATTCAGCAAACCAGAAGCACCACAGTTAAAACATTGGATTAAAGGTTTGTTGTCTTTTCCATTCCAATGTGTTTTGCCACCAGAACACTGAGTTAAAGATCTGTTGTCTCTTTTAGTATGTTATGTTTTGCAAACTCAATAATAAAACTTAACAGTAAAACCAGAGACGAGGTGCTCAGCGGATGAAACTGGATTCGCAGAGTCTCTGCGTGCAGGTAACATTCCAGCAGGATCTGGTTTCTCTCCTCCCAGCCAGTGGAAATTTACCTCGCTGGCGCCTATCGTGGGTTGGAATCAAAAATCTCTCTACACGGAGAGCAGAAAAAAAGCGCCCAACCCAAGCCAAGCCTCCCCCGCCGCGGCTCAGGTGAAGCTCCCTCCAGGTGAAAGGCGGGCTGGGCGGCCTTTCCCCCGTTGTCCGGGTGACACCTTCTGTGCCTCCCCGGCCACACTTCCCGGGGCGCGGCGGCGGAGCTGGGGCTGGGGGTTCTCGGCAAGTGCGCTCGGTAAGTGCTCCCCTTTTGGGGGACTCAGTGTGACACCGGCGTGTGCTGCTGTCCCCGCACGGGCTGGGTGCGGCTCGGGAGCGAGAGCGAGCCTGTCCATCTCGTGCGCTCCGACCCGCAGGTGGGTTTGTGTACCTTCGCAAAGACGCGTTAAGTGTTTCATCCGCTCTGGTCCGCGTGGCAGCTGTTCAAATATCGGTTCGCATTGATCCACCCGTTGTGCCTTTCACACTTGTCTGTTCATTTAAACGAGCCCAGCTCTAATTTTATACCCCCATCGATTGGTATTTCAGGCGGTTCTCGTAGTGCGTACGCTCCGTGTGTCACGGGATTGTCTGTCCTGCTGGAAGCTGACGTCTGCAGCTTTCCTTCTTACACCGCGCTGCGTGGCTGGGGATGTCTTGGTGTGCATTTGGGACATACAGATGTGCATTCCAAACCGTGTTCAGGTTGGTTTGACAGCGCATCTGTCTGGGTTCAGCTGGTGTGGGCTGAGCTGCCTCTCCTGGGTCACCCTTTGGAGAGGCAGCATCACACCCTGCCGGTTGGGAAGAAGGCAGGTTGGGGCACTGTGATTCACCAGTGTTCTTTCTCTTTTGTTGCCATAACTCTTCTGTAAACTTCCCAGCTCCAGGGTGTTTTATTAATCCAAGGGCAGGACTTAATGAGTTTTCTTTATGTGAGTGCTTTAATGGGTGTTAGAAATGACTGGGCTTTTCAGAGCAGCTGGAGAAGTGAATGTGGTGTTCGTTTAACAAATTGTGAATCATACAGATAAATATTCCTGCAAAAGCCTCTTGAATCTCTAAATGCATCTGTGTTCCTTCATCTGTTTTCTGAGGTGATTGGGGTTTGTTCACTGCCAGTGAAGTCTGGGTTTTGCTGCATAATTGGCTTCCACTTCCTAAACTTGATTCCACCTAAATCAACCAAGTCCTCTAAAATGGCACCACAAATTGCAGCTAGAGAAAACACAACCTGTGTAAAGGTTATCCTTTAGCAAAGAGGAGAACTCTGTAACCTCTGACATGTTTTGAAGAGGCAAGAAAACAGAAACTTCATGTTAATAATTGGACAGAAGTCAGCGTGGACATGGTTAGTGGTGGAGCTCAGCACTAATAGCTAACCAGGCCCTGCCACAGTGGGCAGGAGGCTGAACTCGGGGATAGACTTGCCAGAAAATGGAACTATGTTTGTGTTGGGAAAATGCTCTTGGGAACAGTAGATGATTGATCACTGATGGAAGTCTTTCAGTGGAGATATTTAAGTGGCAGTAAATTGTGCTCTCCTGCATTTGTGTGGATGGACAGTTTGACACTGACTTTGTGCTCAACAGCATGTCAGTTCTTGTGGTACCTGAAGCTGTTCAGCAGAGAGAACACCATTGTTTGTGGCATCTCTCATGTTTTTAAGATATACACGGGCTAATTAAGCAAGTGCTTTTTTAGAGCTGGCTCAGGTCAGGGACCTGTCCCTCATCTGCTTCCCCTCTGTGCGTGATGCCTGAGGAAGGGTGTCCGTGGGGGTTCAGCTGCAGGGGGCTGCAGGAGGCCCTTGTTTCCCTCCTGTGGATCCTCCTAGGGAGCTCTGTTCCTGTGGTGTGTGTGCCTGTTCCCTGATCCGAGTCCCGCTGAGCTGAGTGTCTGATCCGCTTGTTAACCTGCTCTGCTTGCTCCTGGTGCTTTGCTTGTAAGTCAGGACTCCAGCTGAATGTTTGCTGTCCTTCAGCCTCTCTGCAGATCCATCTCCCATGCATGGGATCCCTGCTTCTCCTTAACCCTCCAAATCTGACTCCTGATCACATCCATTCTCTAATTGTGCCTGGGGATCACTTCATTGGTTGGGGTTTGGATCCTGGGTCTTCTCACCTGGCGATCACCCAGAGCATCATCTTTTGTATCTTGCAAAACCTGAGTTAGGGATCCTCCAACAGTGGGACTTCTTCCTGCCTTTTTTTTTTTTTTCTTTTAAAGATGGTAGGGTGTTTGTGTTTTTCTTTTGTTTCTTTTGGTTTAGTTAATATGCAGAGGTGCCCTCAGTGCAGGAATAAGATGCCACTCTAGTGAATGTTTTGATGTTTTAGAGAAATCTGAGTAGCACTGATAGTGTAGAAAGAGCTACTTCAGTGAGGTCAGAACAGTTTTGAGTTTCTGCCTGGCTTTTTCTATGCTGTCTTCTCTTAATGAATGAATTTTCTTGATCACAATTTGCAAGTTCATTGCCTTTTGTGTGTTAAAACCTCTGTAGAAGCTTGCACAGTGTTACACGGTGCTGGAGAGAATACCAGAAGCTAGATTTGAGGAAGGATTTCGGTGTCAGGTGTTGTTTGTGTTCTTGGGGCAGGATGTGTGCCAGGATGGAGCTCTCCCTGTAGGCAGGTTCAATGGGACTGTTGTTGTGTGTTCTGGGGAGTCCCCTGTCCGTGCCTCCTTCCAGAGGCAGGGCTTTGCTGCGCCTGACCTTCCCCAGGCTGAGAAATCACTGGTACCGCTACCAAAGCTGTGGCTGGCTTTCAGCTGCCTAAAGCAAACACACCGGGGGAAACCTGTGGGAAAGTGGCATTATTTTCGGAACAGGCTTCAAGGAACGGAGTCTCAAGTTACCGTAATTGGATCTGCTATCTTGCAGCTCTGGGAGCTTATCAGAGCAGAGAAGGTATCACTGATACGGGCACCGCTGAACCTGTTTCTGTAGGAGCCTTTCCAGGTGCCATTTTGGTGGCCTCTTGGTTGGTCAAACAGGGTGGGAAAAGCCCCAAACCAAAACAAACGTTTTAACATATTCCTCAGGCACTGCATGTAATGAAGTGATAAACTGATCATCGGGCTGATGCTCCGGTAATGTGGGTCTGCAGGACTTGCCAAGTGGTTTTGAGTTCCCTACATGCACCAAGGTGCTGAGACAGGTTTAAAAAAATCACTTTAAGAATTTATTTTTAAGCTTGCATCCTTATTTTTTCCAGCACAGACATGTCTCAGAACAATAAAGTTATGACTCTTTTCCCTTGTCTTTGAGGAGCTTTAGCAATGCAGAATGAATTTTGTGGGCTATGTACCATTTAGGATGGGAAATGACCCCGTTCAGCAAATTCTCTTCTGGTTTTATTGCTATTGTTGTTACATTATTATTGCTCTGATGTTATTACTGTTATCTGCTCTTAACAGCTCTGACTGGAGTTGAATGCTCCTCATGGCAGGGTTCAGATAAACCTCCCAGAGGTTCTCCTTTTCCACATCCTCCCTGGGAGAGCCTCCTGCTGTCTCTTAACTCTTGCCAACTGTTGATCGCCAGTTGGCACTGCAGGGAACATTAAACCGTGTCCTTTCTCGTTGCAGGAGGAGTCTCGCGTCCTCAGGGTGAAGGTGGTGTCTGGCATCGATCTGGCGAAAAAAGACATCTTTGGAGCCAGGTGGGTGATGTGCAGGGCCTGTTTGATGCCTCGAACCACGGCAGGCTGGGCAGGGCCCCCCAGGGCTGTTCATGAACAGGCGGGCATCCCGCGCCAGGGTGCGTGTTGGCACAGCTGTTGGTGCCAAACACACGCCCGGCCCTCTCCCTTCCCTCAGCTCTGTGAGCCCAAAGAACCACCCAGGTAACAGCTGGGGGAGAAGCTGCTGCTGAAGCCAAAATGAAGCCGAAGCCATTAATTTTCTTTTTTGGAGGTTAATTCAGGCTTGACATTCCTGCTGTCTCAAGCCTAAGCGTGAGGAAATGCTTTACTGCAAATGTTCCAATCTCCTTGGAAGGCTTTTATCAGTTTGAAATTAGTCGTGTCCAATTTTAGCTTTTATTGAAATGACTAATTTCTTAATGTATAAATGAGCCTCCCTGTGGGTTTTCCTGTATTTCTTTAATGATGCTTACAAATTGCTCATTAGCTTACGTATCTTGCTTGAAACTGCATGAAAGCAGCAATTAAAAGTTTAATCAACTTTAATTTTTGGGGTGAAATTTGCAACAAGTGTTCCTTTGGTAGCTGAGTGCAGAATATGGCAAGCCAAAACTTCTTTATTTTCTTTCCCCCAATGTGCTGTTTTGAAGAAGAGCTTTTGGTGCTGACCATAAGCAACATATCTTTGACTTTCAACATGCATGAAGTTAAATCCAAGTGATACTTGGACCGAGTCCTCTTGATGCGGCTCTTAAGTATTGTTGTCTCTTTTCAGAAATTACATCAAATATTGAGGACAAATTCACGATCTTTGCAATGTCTTTTTTGGGAGAAAGAAGGTGAAGTGGCTGCTAAATATTTTAGGTGGCTCCACATTTTAAAGTGAGTTCTAAAGCCATTTGCAAACGTGTTGGAGTTGCAGCGTGGTGGCCCCAGCAGCTCCTGTGCCTCTGCGTGGTGGAGCCGTGCAGGGCTTCCAACTGGGGCAGAACAGTTACCGTGTTCCCATGGAACTGTGAAAGACCAACTACAAGGCATACATTGTGTTTTGCATCTCAGTGGGTTGTCCTGACCGTTTTTAATCAACTTTACCATTATAAAACACTGCCTGTGGGCTCGCAGAGTCTGAAAGCCATTTCTTGCCTGATTAAATTCGAAGGCAGTCTCTTACCAGTGTAGAGCACTGCAGAAACTCCTGGTTTTCTTCTGAAGGCTGTAACAGTAAAGGAAACTCAATGCTTTGGAATTTACTTTTTTGGGGGTTCTCTTTGACTTATGAAATGATTTTGATAGCAACTAAGGATATCTAAGGAGACTCAGGGGAAACCACCTCGTTCTCTACAACTCACTGACAGGAAGGTGCAGCCAGCGGGGGCTCGGGCTCTTTACCCAGGTAACAAGTGACAGGACAAGAGGAACGACCTCAAGCTGTCCCAGAGGTTGAATGTTGGGAAAATGTCTTTCCCAAAAAGATTTCCAGCCCTGGCACAGCTGCCCAGGGCAGAGGTGGAGTCCTGGATAACAGCCTGTTCCCCTTCTTGTACCAATGGCTGCTCTGTCGAGCACACACACATCCTTTGAAGGGAACTGCTTTCATAAATTAATCAAACCATTTAAAAAACTAATCTGGCTCCTAACTCTGCCTCTTCAGTGCTTGCAGCAGTGCAGAATGGCACATGTGCCAGGGGACAGTTGTGCTGCATCCCGGCCCAGAGAGGCCCCGGATGTGGCGCAGAGCTGGAGAGTTGTGCACGGCAGAGCTCTGCAGTGACCGAGTTCCCAGAGCCGCTTGACCAGATGGCAGCTGCTCAAGTAGGAGAGAGTTCATCCTCTGTTGTTGCTTTTCCTTTTTCCAGTTGATTTCAAATGGAAGTTTCTCCAGGGTAGTGGAAATGAACATGCTGGTTACAGAGTGTGGGGAAGGATTGAGAGCTTCCTGAGATCCAAGCTGAGCTGGACTTGGGGAAGGCGAAGGCAGCATCTGCACTGCTCGGTGAGCACTCCCAGCTCGTGCTTTCCCTGTGGAATTAGCGTGCTTTAGGAGAGCTGCAGGGTGCTGGGAGCAGCCGTGGGCAGGTGTTGGGGTGAGCTCAGTCACTGCATCCAGAACAGGCGTGTGTGCCTGCCTGGCAAGGAGGGAATGGCCCCCACACAGGCAGAGGTGGCAGTTTTCCAGGAGCCGCTGTGCCACCCCAGAGTATGGAACGTGCAGTCCTGGGAGTGGCACGAGCTTCCCACATGGAAAACACTCGGGGCTCTACCTGAGGAAAGCCCTCAAAGGGACAGCCAGAAAGGACTTGTGCCAAGTGTATGGCCAGTGAAGGAGAGGGAACCGGGGTGGGAAGGGATAAAAGACTGCTTGGCAGAAATATGCTGGACTAATTGACCTTTTTAATTATGAAACCTTAATGTCGATTTTGTCTCATACAGGTGTGGGAAAGGAGTGTTGGGCTGCTGGGTGTGGGCACAGGGTGGGTCTGTATCCATGAGGGGCTTTAATCATAGGAAGGGGCAGGGAGTGGGGGCTCAGTGAGTCACGGGCCAGTCAGCCGGTGGTCAGTGAGTCCTGCAGGGTCAGAGAGCCCAGAGGCAGCGAGCCAGGGGCCAGCAAGTCACCAGTGAGGGTCACCTGGGGGTCGGGGAGCCTGGGGGATCAACCTGCCGGGGGCTTCCTTGCTGCTGCTGCCTGGCAGCAGAGGGCACCAGAGAATTTCTGCAGCTTTCACCGCAAACCGGCGCTCTGATGGCTTCTGAGGAAATCAGCCTTTCAACTTCTTCACTAAAGTACACAGGGTTTTACCCATCTCCACGTGTTATGTTCTGCAGGCTGCACTGGGGTATGTATTTCAGGAGAAATGCTGGTTATTCAAGGATATGGTCTTGCTTCTGAGTAAGAGGGCTCAGTAATAATTCCTGAAGGTTGTAATGTCACAATGGGAAATAAGTGTCATCAGACGATTGCTCAATAGAAATTGAGCAATCTGTCCTTTGTACGGATAGAAGAATGATAAATCCTGCTCAGTATTTGAAAGGGAGCACCTATATTCAGTCCCTCAGCTTTCCCTGCAGTGATCTGTGAGTTCACCTGTATCTTTAAAAGAAAAAGGGGGCATGTAGATAAAATCTTCTAAGAAAAACCTTTTGGTATTAAATATTTCTTTCATCTTCTTTTGCTGTCATATAAAATCATTGAGGAGAATGGATTAAAATGATCAGCAGCTTCTTCTTTTTATATGTGTTAATTTTTCCTCCTAATGTCTGATATGTTGTAGTGGAAAGGTTGTCCATGTCTGATGGGTGTCTGCTCTCGCCTCGTGTTCACCCTGGGTCTGTGGCACCTCCTCTCACACCTGGCTTGTCCCCTCTTGGGGTCCCGGACCATCCTTCTGTTCAGTGCTTGTCCAGCACGATGGAATCTTGGCACGTTTAAAAGCACCACAGCAATCTTTTTATTCTTTTACAGAAATGACAATGGAACCGATGATCTGTGTAAGTGAGAGTGTCCCCTTGAGTGACAATAAGGCGTGGAAACATGTCAGGAGACTAATCCGAGCGCTGGGAGCCACGGGCAGCTGTGGCAGGTGGGAAGGAGCCCAGGGCAGGGGGCTGAGCCGTGCTGCTGCCCCAGCACCGGCAGCGCTGGCACGGATGTCCCAGGAGGGGACAGCTGGGGCAGCAGCAAACCCGAGGGTGGGGAAGGTGCTGTGAGGGGCCCTTGTGTGCCCCCAGACTGCTCTCTTCCTGCGGCTTTGCCTTTTGTCCCAGCTGCTCACTCAGTGGACACCCTGATGCAGGGTTGGTATTTCCAGAGGCAGATTTCAGTCAAGAATGAGTTTATCCAGGAAGTTTTGTGTATCCCAGTCATTGTGGGCAGAAAAAGCAGGACATGAATGTATCCCAGCCTGTCCTAACTTGTGAGCTCTGTTTTTTAAATAATTTTAAAAAAAAGAATGTATCAAGGAGCCTGAATCTAGTGGCATGCAATTTATTGTTTTGTGTCTGAGGATGGTATCTGAGAGAAGGAGAAGCATCCACCTGGCTACCTGTGCCCATGTTCTAGGGGGTCATAAATTCAGGTCCCTGCTGCCTTTTTTGGCAGAAGGAGCAGTGTGGTAAGGTGGAAAACGTGTGGTTCAGCTCATCAAACCCTCATTGCAGCAGTGAGTAATAGCACAGCAGAACAAAACTGAACTCCCCCTCGCAGCCCCGTTTGATTAGTGTTCTTGGAGCTGTTCTCTTCAGGAATTCGTGTCTGCTCTGAAAGCAGCTGCCTTCTGTTACAGGCAGAGCTCTGACAGGCAGCCACTGACCCCTGTGCACACGAGCTCTGCTTCAATCCATCTCGCCGAGCAGCTTCTGATGACAAATCTCCGTCTTTGGAACCAAGAACTTAGTCTTGGGTGATGACTCATGGCAAATTTCCTATTATCTCTAAAAGAGGGAAGAATTTTCTCGGCTTGATTTGGTTTTGCCTTGGAAGCAGCCCCCACATGCTGCCCTGTGCCCATCCATCCCTGCACTGAGCTCTTGCTAGGCTACTTCAGTTCTCCAACCCAGCAGAAAGCAGTTTGCCTTCTTTTTGGGTGGCAAATGCAGGGGAAGAACACTTTTTACTCAGTTCAGTTGATGGAGTCAGCTCGTGATGATGTCTGACAGGTGTCAGAGCTGATGCAAAGTGTCATTTGTACTGGTGTGGCTTGGAGCTCAGAACATAGATTTGCTGCACAAGTGACTTCATTCAAGCCTAAAATACTATCTAATACTGAAGAATCCCCACAAGGTGTGTTTTCAGGCTGTGGGTATGTGGGTGTCCCAGCAGTGCTGTGGGGACTTGGAGGGAAGCAGGGGGTGCCTGGGGCCAGTTCCCCCCAGTTCAGACCCCTCAGCACCAGGCAGGGTGAACTGGGCACCTTGGGGAGGGCTCCTGGAAGGACTGCACAGACAGGGAGTGATGTACAATGTAAATAATTAAATCTTCCTTCTTTGCTGTGTTTTTCTGTCATTTGTCCTCACGTTCAGCACTCTGCACTGGACCATCCCAAACTTAGTGCCAGTAGTCAGGTGTCGTGAAATTTTCCCTCTTTTTTATTCCCTCCCCTCTCCTGCTGCATTTTGGAACTTGGTAAGATATAAGATACTTTTTTTCTTTAGGACATGTGTAGAAAACAGAGCTTTGCTTTACATTCTAGGAGATTTCCAAGAGGCAAGAATTCTAAAGGATTTGGTGTCTTTACCCTTTATTAGAACCACAGTGCATTAAAGGAAGGAGGAGACGCTGGAGGTGGAGTTTGAGATGTAATTTTTAACTCCCTTTTTCACCCACAGGCACTTCTTCTCAACTGTCTGTGATGTGAGTCATTATCTCTAGCAGCTCTTTGGATAAAGCTGTGCTAAATTTCTCGTAGAGTCAGATGAGGTGCGAGCCTTTCTTTGGGAAATAAAAAACTAGAAGGGAAATGAGAGGCCTGTAAATGGCTCTGGGATTTGGTATGCAGAGGTGAGATTTTGGGATGCTTAGGCACAATGGACTGCAAGTTTGGCTTTGCAGAGAAGGCTAAGGTAAGGTTTTGTTTTCTTTTCGGACTCTGATGCTCCTTTATTGTTGGGCTGTTGGTCACTTGGTGCTTTGCTTTAGTCACAGGGCACGAGACTTGTATGACAGCAAGGTCAAAATCTTCTTCTCTTTGAGAAGAAGTCCTAATGGATGTCACTTGGTGCAGGCAGGAAGATGAGCCCCAGAAGGCTCATGCTGAAATTAAAGCTGATGCGCTCTGAGCATTCCCTGTAGTTGTTTGCTGTGTGTTCTCACTGTACTGCTCCCTTCCTCCAGTGCAGGAGTGGGGAAAGTCACCAGGGGAGATGGCTAGTGGGATAAAAAGATAGTGGCTCTAAGAGATTCTGCCTTGGGACATTGTTTTCACTACTCTCTGTAAAACTTCTTAAGAAGTATCTCATTATTATTCTCATCTTCTATAATGATGCATATTTTGGGCTTTGTTTCTCACATCTCTTTGAAAGTGACCAAGCAGAACACTGGATTTTTTTTAAATTCTTGGAACTTTTTAAGCCCTATTAAGTACATGCACGGAGTTGTCTCTAAGTGTGTTTAAATGATTCTGACATTCTCAAGTTCACAGAATTTCCTCTTGTTGGGGAAGGGGCAGCACGAAGGGCTTTCTTACAGAAGCAAAACAATCCTGAGCAAGGCTGGTTTCCTTTGGAGCAGTCAGGCTGCTCTGACATGTGCAGTTTGCCCGTGTGTGTGACAAGCCTGGCATGCACACACTTGCATAACAGCGATACTAAATTTTGGGCTTGGGGAGGCGGTTTCAGCTTTTCCAGTAAAAATAGAGCCACGTAGGCCTTAGGAGTTTCATTGTTCTTTCACGTGTGCCTGTACTCTCCTCCCCCTTCTTTGGGAGCCTAAAATAAGTAAATAATACATCAGGTCACTGGCAAAAGCTATTTGGAGACTTGCTGTCAAAGCTGTTTCGAGGATTTAAAGCAATGCAATTCCAGACTCAAGTGAACAAACTTGAGCTTGTTCTATGCATGGGCTCCAGTTTCACAGTGCTATGAAGTAATGTAGTTTTAAAAGGATGCTTTGAGGGTTTTTGGGGGGTTTGGTTGGGGTTTTTTAGGGTTTCTAAGTCATCAGTGCTTTTGTCCTCCAGAAGAAGAGCTGGAAGCTTGTCTTTTCCTGCTGAGGTTCAAATGAAATACAATAATTATATATCTACAATTGCTTGAGCTTTATGAAAATACCAAATATTGAGAGTTGGCGAAACCATGGCAAGTAGCTAATTCTGAATGTCTGAGAGATTCCAGAAGGTCGGGAAAAGGATTTCTTAAGACTTCAGATTGTTTTGTTGGCTGTTGTTCTGCCAAACTCTCTTTGCACTAACTTGTGATTAGGATTAACATAACTTTTCTTATTAACATCATTTTCTTAGGATCCCAGTTTATTCTCCAGAGAACTGTTACCAGCTCCAGGGTTCTGCTGACCTGAGCAGGCACTGACTTTCTCTTTAGGTTTCAACCGATCATGTCAGGGTAGATCAGATTTATTGGTTTTAATCATTGTTGATTTTGTAATGAGGAGCATTATGGTAGGTGTTCCACAAATCAATTCCCATTCATCTCCATCACCGGTATGATGAGGACTGGGCTCATTTCTCTTTGCAAAACCTGACTTTGAAACCTGAATGCCTGATAATACATATGAATAAACCCACTGGCTTCTGCTGAGTGATGGCATTGCCAGATGTAAGAAATGCAGAGCAGGAAAGCAATAATTCATTTTAATCCCCTCCTTTTAGTCACTCACCTTCAGGGGAGAAATATCTGGCAGGTACAACTCCAGCCTGATCCTGTCTGCTTTCTCTGCTCAGAAGGTCCCCCTCACCTGGTTGGTCTGTTGGTTTTTCTTCCTGCTCTCAGCACAGGTGTCCTGTTTGTTATTGTATCTCCTGGGTCATCGGGATTTGCTTCTTGTAACACATCTGCAGATACTACTGCGAGTGGGAAGCTGGTATTGCCTCCCCTCTTCTTGTCTCTATCATTCCAATTTGGGCATGGGTTTTCCAGGGATTTTTAATGCACCACGTGCTGTTATTTTGTTCTTCTGCAAATTTTCTTCAATTTTACTGATTCTCATGTTACTTTTTTCATGTCTTCATGCAATTTGATGGCAAATTCCTTCTGAAATTCTCTTTGGCTGGACAGATATAGGCCATTAAATCTCATGTTTTCTTTTGCAGTGACCCGTACGTGAAACTTTCCTTGTATGTAGCAGACGAGAACAGAGAACTTGCTCTTGTGCAGACAAAAACCATTAAAAAGGTATGTGTATACTCTGTTTAATTCCACTGCTTTGGAAATGCTAAGAACACTGGAACACAATTGTATAACTTATTACAACACTAATTGAAATAGTTGCATACATGTAGAGCAACCAAATAATGTGGGTTTTTTCAAAATATTTTCCTGATATGGTGAATTTCAAACAGCCAGATGACAGAAGATACGCTGTGAAAAAAGCCCAGGAGTGTTTACCTTTTTAATTAGAAACAAAATTGAATTTTGTTTATTTTTGTAATTTCAATCCACACAAATAAAAATTTCACTAGGGGATGTTTATCATTATCAGGGCCCTAAGATTTTAGAAGGATTTTTGTTTTTAAATTTGCTGGCGTTGCTGGCAGAGAGGAAAAAAGTCATAACCTGTATGGAAAGTAAAGGAAAATGGTGAGTTGTCATTTTTATGAAGATGTCAACGATGGCTCATTGAAATCATTGCTGCAAAACAGAATAGTGGGGAGGATTTTGTTGCTGAAAATACAAACTAAACTGATGCTGTTCTGAAATCAGGACATTAGGTGTTACCTGTGAAGGTGGAAGGAATTTCTGCCAGTTCCCAGACATTTACCAAAGACTGTGCTGCCTCATCCACCAGATTTCCCTGGGCTCTGTGTTTGGGGCTAAGCAGCATTCAGGATTAATGGTTATTGGTGGGCAGCAGTGTCCTCAAATTCAGTGTTAACCCACTAAATTACAGGGGCCCTCTGTTGCCAGTAGCATTTGATGAATACAAGTGTTTAAAATGTAACATTGTTTTCCTTGTCCCCTCATTTTTTATTTATTATTTACTAAATCCATTTGTGCTCCTTCAGGGAAAAGAAAGCTGCAAGTTCCTCTCTGCCCCCAGCCCCGTCCCTACCCCTCTTTCATTCACTTGCCCTTTTCAGTGGCCTTTTCCTCCGGGGAGTATTTGCTGCTCTGCTAGGACATCCTGTGTTCCCAGTTTCTGAGGGATGCAGTGCAGTCACCCCTGTGTCCTGCACGGCAGGAATCCACTGGATCTGTAACAGGCAGTGAGATAAACAGCCAAGATTCCCCCTCTGTGCTGGAGCAGAACTGTGGGGGCTGCAGAGCCAATTTGTCCTGTCAGCTCTGCTGGTGAATCTCTGCTGTGGGAGAGCATGAGGGAGTGAGTTGGCACGGACACAAAACCATCGGACACGTTGTCCAATTGTTTTTATTCTTGCCCACATTACTGGTTGTAGTTCTCATCTCTTTTTTTATCAGTTTATTATGTCATGCTTGAGCTCCCTTCAGATTGCAATCTACATGCACGTTGTATTCTGTGCATTTTAGGCAGCTTGTTAAAACAAAATTAAAGTCCTTGGGCTGGGGGGAGATTAGGAAGAGTATCATACCTATTCCAAAGAAATAACCTTTTATTTTGTTCTTTTTTTTTTCTGTTTCATTCACAGTATAAATCTGTTCCTGGTTTTGTAGCCTTAATGTTACTCTTGTGTTGAAAAAATACTTTTTTTTTATATTTGTGTTTAAATTATTCTTGATAATGAAATGTCTCCAGGTTATATTTCTATAGGTTCTCAGTGATTTGTCTTTTACTCATTAAATCCTATTTATACTTAACATCTATTTTAAGATCATCTGACTCAAATATCCTCCCACGGTTGGTTTACTCAGTAGAGAATTTCTAGATAATTTGATGACACTATTGTTTCAATCTTTTTTTATTACATGTTTTTATCCTTTTTTTCCCCTAGAAAAATGTCACTTGCGTGCATGGTTTGATTGCAAACTGGCAAACCTAAAGAAACTTCAGCATGTAAATACTGTTATTTCTTTTACAGACGCTGAACCCCAAGTGGAATGAAGAATTTTATTTTAGAGTAAGTCTCTCTTTACTTGCAGTCATTACTAGAACATGCACAGTTAATCTTATTTAAGTTTGTTGTTTATGTGTTTACTTAAAAACCCATGCACTTGCTGTTGTGTTCCTGTAGGGATGGAATGCTCAGCAGGAATTGGCTCGAGGTTATTTACAAACACACAACCTGAGATTATACAAATGCCAAGGGCAATAACTTCGGTAGTCAGTTGCACAAAGTATTTTTCCAAGGAAGACTGATTGAATTTTCCTGCAGCTGCAGCTTCCACAAAAGAAAAAACCTGTTAGTCCTGTCCTGTTTGCTTTGGTTTAATCACTGCCTAAACTAGTGCCCAGATACTGTTATTGTCCAGTGACATTTGGCTTTTCTTGCAGGTGAACCCAACCAACCATCGGCTCCTGTTCGAGGTGTTTGATGAGAACAGACTGGTGAGTGCTTGTCTGGGTTGTTGTACTGATCACAGGGCTCCGTGGGACACAGCTGGTGGAAATGCAGCAAAACTTAAAGGTGTTATTTTATCTGCTGTGGGAGTGAGTGTGCTAAGAACTAACTCGTTCAAAATTAGAATCAGAGTTGTGAAGATGCTTTTATTAAAACCAGAACAGCATAGAAACATCTGTGTCTTCCACAACCCTCCTTTTCCAACCGGTTGTGTTTGCAGAGTGAGAAGACACTGAGCTGATTATTTTAGCTCTACCTGGAAATATTTATTGTCAATACTTGAATGGTTTGTATTGCAAGGACTTTGTTCCTTCTTGTTGTTCCCAAGTCACCAAAGCACACCCTGGCTCTGCAGGACGTCCTTGCCTTTCTACTCGCAGTCTAACCAGAGAAAATGAGGTGCAGCTTCACCGTGGGCACAGAGAGAAACTGTCTGTGGGTAATGTGCTTTAGCTGAAAAATAAAGTAAAATAATACCAGCACTTGCACCTCCACAAGGCCATCTCCAGGACTGTCACTGTGTGGAAGCTGTTCATGTTCCTGTTGGCTCATGATCTGTGGAAATCAGTGGGGGATTGGGCCAGTGGATGGGTCTGAGCTTCCATTTTCTGGCTTTTGAGAGCAAACTGCTTGCGAGCAGAGGTTTAAATGTCTAGATAGGGGATTGATCCCCCACATGCAGATTTTCAGGGCTGTTGACAAAGCTGAGGCTTTCCAGTTCTCCCAAAAAACAGTTGTCCAGGCGCCGGGATGGAGCTGCACTTCTGGCTAACAAGTGTGAGCACCCGCCACGTGTGAGTATCCTCAGAGCACTGAGTATCTGCGTTGTAACAGCTCATTTAGGGTGCTGGGTGTGTCCTGCCCTCCTCCCGAGGCCCTTTGGCTGCGGGAGGGTGTCACTGTGTTCTGTGCTGGTGCCACGTGTGGTGGCACTGCTGACACCCTCGCTGGCACCGAGCCAGCAGCGGGCACTTTGTGTGCGGGCGCTGGGACAGATCGGAGCAGGGGGACGTGCAGTGCCTGGCTCCGCTTCTCCCTCGTCTGTACTGCCTGGCAAAGCTGGAAAAGGAGCTTTGTGTCCTGCCATCGTGCGCATTCCTGCTGGTTTCACTGCGAGAGCTCTTTGCCATACGTGGAATTTCTGTAGCTACTCCGAGGGGCTGTGCAGGGGAGTGCAGGTTATACTGAGCTCATAGGGACAATGTGCAAGTTGGAGCTTTTTCAAGGCAAGGAGTTGGTTGCTGAATCGTGTTAGGAGCACAGTTAAAATTGAAAGCATAACTCTGCTATATTTATTCCAGTTCTGCCATGGCAGCCCAGTGCTGAAACGCACCAAAAGGGGACTCTCGAAAGAAGTTCCCTCATTTGCATGTGGTGTTGGCTTCAACTTTGAACACGAAGGGGGAGTGTTTTTGTTGCAGTTAAATTTTTGTGCCCTGTGAATGTGGTTTAGATTTACAGCAGTGCCGAGCACGCTCGCAGCCTCAGTCAGCTGCGAGAGCTCTCCCGCTGGGGCTGCTCCTCTCTGATGGAAAAGGAGCAGCTGGGAAGGTGCTGTTTCAGGCTCTTGCTGGCATTAAAAAAAAAAAAAGGAAAAAACAAACCCCCCACCCGCTTACATTGGAGAGGGGGAACCAGGCCACGTGACTGCCGCCATCCTACCCTATGTCACCGTGTGTAGGAGCGCTGACTGCTCCTGCCCAATCATGCCTGGAATGCTGCTTGCCACTTGGGCTATTTCTGCTATCTGTCGCTCCCAGGGCTGCAGTGCTAACCGTTTGGCAGATGGGACACTTTTCCTTGGAGTTTATGTCTCTGGTTTTTAACTTCTGGCGGTGCCCGAATTGTTGCTGTTCTCCCTCTCCCCTTCTCCTCTCTGTAAAACCATGGCCCATCGGCTGCGGTTTCATTTTGGCTCCGGGAGAAGCAACACAGCCCCCGAGTCGGAGATCCTCGACCGGGAGAGGGAAGATGACTTTTTCCTGGCGTTCCACACGCTGCCAAGAAGGAGCAGCCCTCACGCGTTCTCCCGGCTCGGCGCGGACTGCGGCGACGACGGCGACTTGCAGGAGGTGGGCTCGCTGAAGAGGAGCACGTCCATGTTCATCCCGCAGCTGCTGGGCAGCGTCGAGGCGCGGCCCACGCGCAGCTCCTCCGTGCAGATCTCGCTGCAGCGCAAAGCTGCCGACGGCGACAGCGGGCCCCCCGAGGACGCCCCGCCCGGCAAACCCTCGGACTTCGGGGAGCACTGCGCGGCCCCTCCGGAAAAACACGGCTCTGCTCGGAGCAGTCCGCAGGGGACTCCCGACAGCTCTGCGCCTGGGCCAACCGAAGGGTCGGGACAGCAGACAAACGGAACTGTTTGCTGTAATCACCGAGTGTTTTGTACCATCCCCTCCAATAACCAGGGCAAGGAGGCTCCATCCGCCGCCCAGCGAGACGAGGCGAGCGAAGCGGCTTCGGGTTTGAACATCAGTGGAGTGAGGATTCAGCATCGGGCTTCGAGTGCGGACGTGCCTCAAGTTACTCTGCTCCCCTTGGGCTCGGAGGCTCCAAACAGCGCTCCCAGCCCTGAACCCCGGCGTTGGTCCTTGCAGCATGTGCCAGATCTGTCAGCAAATTCAGGGAAAAAGTTCTTTGTTCTCCAGTTACAACAACCGCAGAGCAGCGGAGCGGGCGCAGGGGGCGGATGTAACTTTGGGTTTACTGGAACAAAGGGGGACAGATTGGTCAGGTATCCTCGGATACGGCTGGAAAGGAGTACTTCCTACCCTGTCCAGCCGCCAGCAGAAGGAATGAGCCCCTCAGCTGATGGGCTGGCTTCAGAACCGCCTGGGAACGGCAGGAACAGGTCAGAAATACCTAGAAGCAATTCGGTAGAGCGGATTCCTCAAGGGCAGGGATGCTTGTTTAAAATCAGGCCAGATCAAAACACGAGGCAGCAGCACTTCAGGATTCTTGTCACCCGTGGGCCCGAAGAAGGTCAGGGTGTCGGGAAAGACGGTCGTGGCACCCCTGGTCCCACAGCAGCCGGCGCCGCAGTAAGTACAGTGTGTGCTGTGCCATTGACACGCGTGTGCCGGGGACACGCGTGTGCCGGGGACACGCGTACTGCCTTCCAGAGCCTGCTGGACTGGAGGCAACTGCAGCACTTGCATGGTTAGTGCTGGAATGTTCTGCGTTTCTCAGGACCCAGCCACGAATCATCTCTGTTTCTGATCGAACGTAACTTTGCTCTCAGTTGTGATTACATCCAGTGTAGTATTTTCAGAGCCTACTGTCACATGTTTCTTAATTCACTGTTACGTCAGCTGGAAAGATTTTTGAAAATCGCAGCATTCAAATGGCAAATTATGTGTTCACGTTTAGTTGGGTGAGACCTTCAGGACTCTGGGTTTAAAACCAAGTATTTTGGCACGCTCTAAGTGTGATGTATCCACGTGTGCACCTCCACACGCTTTAAAATACGTATTGTAGTGCAATAGCAGGTAAGACCACGGGAATCTTAGGATAATTCCAATCAAAATACTGACTTAGATAAGGTTAGATAGTTTTGTTTTTCTCCTTCTGGAAATGCAAAACTCACCATGTTTCTGTGTGCCACAAGTCGTGATCCGAGTCGAAGTGGCTGGGCACAGCTCAGTAAGCAGTCTTGTTTGGATTTGCCTTGATTTGGTGTTAAGATGGCAAAATTAACTTTCTGGGTTTGCTTTGTTGCAGCGGGTGAGGATTGATGGCTGATGTTTTTCAGCCACCCCGAAGGAGGAATGAAACTGAGGGGTTTAGATTAGTCATTTGCTTAAATTGCTTCGCCGTGCAATCCAAGCCGGCCCACTTGAGTTGCCGAGCTCGCTGGGGGATGCTGTATATAGCTCTGCAGGCTCCAGCTGTGGGAACAGGCACCGAGGGGACCTCGGGCTCCCAGGCACTGAAACACAGCACAGAGGCAGCTGCTCCTGCAGCAAGGCCAGGGATGACTCTGCAGCTTTCCCCTGGAACAGCTCGTGGGCTCCGAGTTATTCCAGAGTGACTTTCTTTTGAGCTCTTCAGTGGGCACTGTGAGTAGAAAACCACAGAGTATCCCTAAGGTTTTATTTCAAAAGAGTGGAATGAAAAGGAATCCCTTGCCCAGTCCAGGTTTGGTTTCAGGCTGTGTAAGGGAGCAGTTTTGGTCAGGAGTGTGTCGTGTCTTTCCTGTCAGCCTGAGAACATCTCAGCAAGACTATTTGGAAGGCAGAAGCTTCACTGCGTTTCTTCTTGATTTCACTTGCTGTATGCAGTGCAACATTAAGTGTTCTAAATCTCATTCTGAAAATGAAACAGGAAAAAAAAGGTATATCTGATTTTCCCTTTCCTATTTATTATCCCTCGTTCCTTTCCAAAATCAGCTGTTCAGGGAGAAGCACCATAACCAATTGTAGAAGCAGCTCCAGGATGTCAAACCGAGCACAAAAGCAGCAGAGGTTTGTGCAGATGTGCCCCAGTGTGGATTTCCATACCAAAGATGTGCTTTGGTGTTTCCAGAGGAGAACGAGAAGGTTGTTCCTCCGTGCTCTCCGTTTCCCACTGAGGGACTCAGCCCACAGGGCACTGCCTTCTGTGGGGCAAAAAGCCTCAGAGGAACAGAATAAGTTGAAACCTGAACCTTTTTTCGTGGTGTTTGTCATCTTTGTAGTAAGCCCAGAAATATGCTGGGTAGAGGTAACTGGCTGGGCAGGATCCGTGGGGAGTGTGGGGAGCGGAGGCGTTGTGGTGGTGCGGGTTTTGCTTTATTTTTCAACACAGAACATTCCCTGAGAAGGTGCCTTTTTTAGTCTGTCCCACAGAAGTAAGTTTGGAGGATCTGTGATGCCACTCAGGCTGCGCCTGAAATATCTGATCTCTCAAGCTGAGGGGAGAAGTTGCCATGGTTTACAGTTTGCAGCGTGAAAAACACGAAGTGTGGAGCGTGGCGGTGCGAGGGGTTGGGGTGTGTGTGACTGATGAGGGCTGGGAGCAGCAGCTGCTGCAGCCGGATTTATCTCGGAGCAAACATCCGAGCGGGCGTCTGCAGTCCTGCTGCTCCCAGGGCCCGTGACCTTCCAAATAGCTGCTCTGGGAGACAAGTGCTCTGGGGCACGCAGGATGTGTTTCATTACCAGGCAGTGTGAAATGCTGAGGAAAGGCTGAGCTTCTGTCTAATTGTGAAAAAGTGTGTTTGGAAGTCTTGTTGCAGATTGGTTTTGCCTGGCCTGGTATTTTGTGTCGTGCGGTGGAAGGTCTGTGTACTGTGCATATCCCACATGCTGCCACTGGTTATCACTGGGGGCTGTGAGTGCAGAGCTGGATCGGTGGGAAACACTTCAGAAATGGCATGTATTGGCCAACTGTTGGAGAGAGCTGACAAAGGCATCTTTGTTGGGAGCAAAACACAACGTGCCCTAACAAAACGTTGCAGCAGTAGGACTCAATTCTATTCAGTTAACGAACAGAAATGGCACCACTGGCTCTTTCACAGCTCAGCTCTTCTCTCCTTCCTTAGAAATCATTTTAGGATAAATGTGGTTGTGAAAGTACAGAATCGTGCATGCTCCAGAGATACCAGCTGGGATTGGGATGCATAAAGCAAAAAGAGCAAGCTCAGATAAGGGGAAGGGCCTCGGATAGTGGGAGGCCTCTTGCTGTCACTGGATGGACTTGAGATGTGTCAGTGGTGAGCTTTGTGTTTGCTCTGGGGTCATTTTCATCACCCAGAGCAGAGCAGAGCCAAGTGTGCTGTTAACAAAGCTGTGCAGGGGAAAGGCAGAGCTGTTGGCTGGAATCCTTCTCCAAAATTAGTAATTAGCCACTGACAATTACATGACTGCAATTGAGACGAGGAAAAATATTTGCTCTTTCTCAGAATCACATAATAACATATTCTAATGCATTATTATATTATGAGAGCATAGAGCACCGTGGATCTTGACAGTTTGTTTTTCGGGGGGATGGATACTTTCTTAGTCCTTCCAGTCCACTCACCATTTTCCTTGGTTTCAGTGACATCCCTTAAGCATAAAAAGGTTGTTGGTAACCCCTTTGTACCTTTGTGACATCCTGCAGTTTGGAAAAGAATTCTACCAGGGCAAAAGTTGGCAAAGAATAGATAGTAATCCATGCAGCAAATTGCTACTACTAGGCAAGTTTAAATCCTTGACCCATCTTTTCTATCCCACTGGGAGAGCTGTGGGTGGAATCTGTCTATTCGTATTGGGGTTTGTTTATTTGGGGATTTGAGCTCAGAGACAGCAGGGCAGTGGGTTTGCCAGAGGTGATTGTTATTTGGTGGGTGATGCAGCTCAGAGAGGGATCTTGGCTTTCTCCTCTAGAGCTGCCCTTCTTGCCTGTGCCACTGCTGTGCTCCGTGCCCAGCCTGTCACCAGCTTCATTTACATCACCTCCTGGAACTGGCCCCACGCTGGGACATTTTTAGCAGTGCAGGTTCTCTTGCAATTCTGGAACCAAGTCTGAATGTCTGAGAGCTCCAAGGAATAAACAGATAAAAGTGGGACAAATCCTATTCCTAAGGAGCTTGTATGCAACTGCTTAGCTGCCTGTCCTGTATTCCCATGGATGAGAGTGGAAGCAGCAGCCACTCCACTGAGATTGGAACTGAGCCTTGGAGACTTCCATGGGATCATGGAATAGTTTGGGTTGGAAGGGACCTTAAAGCCCACCCAGTGCCACCCCATGCTATGGGCAGGGACACCTTCCACTGTCCCAGGTGCCTTCCACTGCTACCTGGACTCTTAACAGGCATTTCTAGAAGATAATTCATGTAGCCCTTGGCTGGAGGTTTGCAGTGGCTCAAATGAATAGTGCTGTGATTTTCCTGGCTCTACACTTGCTCTGCAAGGAGTGCAGATGGGTATCTGGAGAGCCTCTGGTCTCTGCAGATAAGGACTCTGTTGACAGCTGCAGGTAGAGGATGATGAATTCCAGCCCTTGGGTCTCTTTAGCTTTCATGTTAAGGACAAAATCCGTTCTTCTCTCCTCAACAAGAAATCACCTGCCCCCCTTTTTAATTATCGTCTCCATCAGCTTGCACATCTGTCCTTAAACATTCTCACTGCTGAGGAGGGGGCCAGGCTCAGACCCAGGCAGAGCTGGAGCTCATTTGCAAGAAGGGAAGTACCAAGGGCCAGAATGAATTTTGCTTTTTCCTCTTTTCCCCCTGTGAGTGGAGCACAAATAGCACATGGCCAGTAGTGTAAATGAGCTTGCAGAGTCAAGAAATTCATCTGTAATGGAAGTGCTGACACGGGTTTAACACTGCAGGTGCCAGCCAGAGCTGCCTCGCTGCAGATCTGGCCCCACAAAATTACAGAGAAGGAACCAGAGAGAGTCTTGATTGCTTTTTGTGCTCTTCAGCTGCTTTGCTATTTGAGAAAAGCTGCCAAGTAATGACGAATTTTTGGACCGTGCGTGTTTTATGCACGTAAACAGAACACAAGTTCTGCACATGAACAGAAGTTTTTAGTTCAGCAGCTGTTCTAAAGCCTAATCTACCCTGCTGAGTTGCTTTCCAGGTTAAATCTCGTTGGAAAATGTATTATTGCATATGTTCATCTAAAGTCCAGTGCTTTTATCTGTCTTTGCATCTACCAGGATGGCATTGGGAGCTTCCAATAGTCAGTAGTTCTGTACAGACAAATAAATTAATACAGCCAGCAGTATGACCAGGCAGCTTTGTGTGTCCCAAAGGGATGAATAAATCAAAAGGGTGTGTGGGAGAAGCTAATTCCAGAGCTAAAGGCAAAGGAGGGAGATGAGTTGTGCAAATTAAATACAGAGCGTGCCGTGTACTGAGGTGTGAGTCCAGAGCTGTCAGTGCAGCTTCCCTTGCAGCCTGGGCTGGAAATAACAACTTCCAGCCTGTATTTTATGCATTCCAGGAAAAGAATAAGAGAACATCAGCTTTGTTGAGAGGTGGGAGTTTTTTCTTTGGTAGGAGGTTCAGCTCTAAATGTCCATGGCCTGACTGGCCTCATTCTCTGTTACTTGTTGAAGTCTGATATTCTTAATCCTGCTACCTAAAGAAGGGGTTTGGATGGCAGAGAATAATATGTAATCATTCTTTAGAATAAATAAGGCAACAGGAGCCTACTTAGTCAGCATTAGGTGTAGTGGTGAATGTTGCTCTGTGTGCTGGAGGCTGATTGCAGCACTTCCAAAGGCTGGGCAGGGCTCAGAGCAGACAGATCACCCTTCAGGGAGGGGGCACAGCTGGGAGCTGCACAGTGGGATGTGGTGCCCCTGGCACAAACAAATGTGTTGTTTCTAACCTTGAAAACTGAGCAGGTGTCAAGATTCTCGGTCTCAGCAAGGAAAAGGTGGTTGAAGATGTGTTGGTGTAGATGATGGTTAATTTACAGAAATTAGGACTAGTTAATGTCCGCCAATCAGCATGTCAGTGGCCTCAGCAGGAAGTAGCTTTCTGTTCTCCCTGGTCAGTGCACAGCCATCTCTCCCCTCACCTGGTAGAATGCAGGTCAAGTGTCAGATAAAAGTGACCTTTAGGATTCTTAAATGGATTTGGGTTTTTTTTCCTTAACATCGGGAAAATCATTAAAGCCAAACTGTTTTGTCCAATATTGCCAAGCATAATGCCTTCTTGTGCCTTAATGTGCTTCTGGGATCAGCTGGTTGAAAGAATGTACTTAGTACCTTTGGAAAATTTGGGCTGAATAAATGTCAGCGTGCCTTGCCTGATGCCATTCTGGGATCTCATTTCCCTGCCTCCAGAGCCTTTCCTGACTTTGATTTCCCTGCCATCCATGTCTGTTGTTTAACCTCAGCCCACATACCTAAAGCACTGCCTCACAGTCCAGATAAACACGCTGATGGTCCTGATGTAACAGAGCTGGCTGCTTGGAAAAGGTGCTGCTCCCGCTCATCCCTGGCAGTTTATAGGACACTCACAGGTGTGAGCTGCTGCACTTCTCCAGGATGGCTGAGGAGCACTGGAATAGTTTTAGGGGGAATATAAATCCCCCTAGCACGCTAGAGCATTTGTACTCTTACAATACTTGGCTTTTCTGGGGGCTCTATTTCTTTATTGCTCTCTGCCAAGAAAGCACTTCAATAGAAAAATTGGTCAGGACAGAAGTGGAGTGAAACCCCAAAGTCTGAATACATCCAAAAGTCTGAGTTGCTGTTGACGAGGAGAGGAAGCAGAAAAAGTAGGACATTGCTTAGAGCAGAAGGAAAGGTAGGATATAAGTAGATTAGTGAAGAGGAGAGAAGGAGTGTAGGTAATAAAAGATCTGTCACTGGAATAGCTCCTGGTGTTCACAGCACAAGGCAGCGTTAATGAACAATTTACCAGCTAATTACCCTCTTTAATTCTGCTTAATATTGTGTAGCATGGCAGAGCTTCCCCAGCCTCCCTCACCTGCCTGCCAGTATCTGCAGGAGCAGCTCCCAGCTCCAGGTGCCCTTCCCCCTGGAAATGCACTCCCAGTGCCCGTGGTGTGGGGAGCTGAGGGGCAGCAGCGCTGCAGGGGAAGGGAAGGGAAGGATGTGTTTGCATGGGCAGGGAGGGCTGCTCTGGGCACCCTCCCCGGGTGGGAGCAGTGCCAAGGATGAGAGTTGGAGCAAATGAAGAATTTGGGGGCCTCTCTGCAAGTTCCAAGTAGTAAAATGCAGCTGTTTGTGCTTTGGAGAGGCACCAACCCCTCCTCCTGGGAACAATCCTGCTGCTGCAAAGCCTCTGCCCTCTGCTCGCCCGCTCCACCCTGCTGGCCTCACATCTCCATCCGCTTTCTCCACTCAGAGTACCATTGTTCCTGGAATCCTGTGTGCCTCTGAACTCCTCAGCTCTCAAGGTGTGCAGGTGTTTGTGCTGCAGCTCTGCACGTACTCAGGGTACTTCTCTGCTGCTTCAGAAACCAAAACCTGACACGAGAGGCCCTTAATTTCTTCCAGTATTTGCTGGCTCTGTTACTCGGGTGAGGAAGCTTTGAGGGCTCTGAGCAAAGACTTTCAGCAAGAGTTCTTTGGAAAACTGCTCTTGGAGTGCTGCCCTTGTCACAGCGCGTGGGGTGGGCGGGTGAAGGTTGGGGCACAGGAACGACCGCGGTGCCACGCGTCTGCCCGGTGGGTTGGGACACGTGAAGCGCCCTGGCCACGGCAGCGTTTCCCAAGCTCTGTGCTCCTCCCCGAGCTGCAGCTGTGGGGCTGTTGTGGGAATGCTCTCTTGGCATCCCAGGCTGGAATTACACGGTTTGCAGAGGGCAGGTTTGTCTGTTCCGCCGTAGAGCAGATTGTTGTGCAAAATGTTTGGAGCTTAGTGGTGCTCACTGACTACTGCCTTGGGAATGTGAGTCCATCCCACTGTGCCTCACTGTTCTCTTGGGGAGTTACAAGGATAAGAAGATTATTCCATTTTTGTTTTGAGAGGGTTTTTTGTCAATAATTCCTTCATTTCTTACAGAACAAGGGACAGAAGCTGTCGTAACAGATTTGCTCTCTATCTGTTCTTTCACTTCTGTACACTGATTTTGTTCCTGTTTTCCTCATCCTCTCATTGCTCAGGCCTGTTTTGAGGGTCTCAGGCATCAGCTCCCTCCTCCTGCCAAGGCTACTCCTTGCCCTCTGCCCTATTTGGTCTGTTCAGTGGCTGAGGAAGAACGGATTCCCGTGTTTCCAGAGGCATTGGTAGTGCAGTAATACGAATTCTAGCAGGTATTCCCTCTTGTCCATCACAGATGGAGCGTTTGATAACTGAGGGTGAGGAAGCAGCTGCCTGTTTGCAGCCCTCCCATGTCATACCTTTAACTACCAGAGGCCCTTTCCCTGGAATGAATGGAATAAGGCTTTAACTGGCTGTCTTCTCCCTGACATTGTCCAGAGGTTTTTTTGGCTGTTACTCGTGTTTCAGGAATATATCAGATCTTGGCATAGGTGCCCGGTGTTGTTTTTTTGTTTAATGTTTAAATAAGCAGTGGCAATGCAAGAGAAGTAATTTAGAATTTGAATAATTGATGTTTATGTCCTGTGGCTTGCTTAATCTGTTTAAGAAAGGATCCAGTTGTGGTTGTCCCTGTGTGCCAGGAAGGAGACTTTTTTTCCCTCAGCTGTGACGATCTTGGAGCAACAGTGCCTCACGTCGGAAGCTGCAGCTCAAGGCACGATGTCTCGGCTGTGCTTTGGTTCCCAGGGTCTGCCTGCCTTGTTCCCTGGCTCTGTGGTGTTGCAGATGGGGAGCAGGGACGCAGGGCTGTGTGTGACACACCTGGAGCCCTGGGTGCAGTGCAGGACGGAAAGTGAAAGTTGAGAGGGAAAGTGTCAGGGAAGCTGAAACCCGACGCTGTTGTTGTGTTGAGCTTCCGGAGGAAAAGCCGGTGTTTGTTTGTTCTGGTACCAAGGAAAAACAGAGGATTGTATTTAGGAAACAACCCCCCTGTGTGTGTGGTGTGCTCTGCCTGCACTTGCACATTTGCAGTAGGGAAAACTTGGGTTTGTTCCGTGGTTACATCGTGTGCCTCATCGTTGGGCACAAACCCTGGGTACCTTCAGGGGGGTGAATTCATTCCCATGGCAGTTCCATGGAGAGGGAACCTCTGGCTGTGTCTGAGCAAGGTGGGGTCAGATGGTGTGTTTATTCCATTAAACCTCTGGGTTGTCACTGCCCAGGGGGAGAGAAGAGCAGGGCATGGGCTGATAGCACCTCTTGTGAATTCCCACCTTTTGGGAAGCCTTAGGAAAAGATGAGTGCAAATATTTATAGCCAGGTTGCAAAGATCCACTGCTAAAATGTGGTAAATTGCCATTATTAGCAAATGGAAAATGGAATTTTAGTTGTGCTTGGGAAGTGGGAAGTGCTGCTGAAAATATTTTGCTTAGGAAAGGAGCGGTGACAGTGGCAACTGAAATTTTATAGAAACGAAAAGAGATTTATTGCAGTTCAGTTAATAAAGAGAGGGAACTATTGCTGAAACTTGCCAACTAAGAACTTAATTTTAGTATTCCTTTCATCAAATGATAAAGGAATATAATAAAATTATCATTGTAGCTTTATTCATATGAATGAGATCAGGGGGTTGATAAGCCTGAGGTGTAGAAAGACATCTCTGATGGCTAATTAGTATTTTAAGGTTTTAGTCAAGAGCAGTTAAAGACTAGTGTGTGTTACCCACCAGGAATGCAGGGATTTGAAAAGTTGGGAATTAACCTGCTTGTGATTTATTTAGAGTAATGAACCTCATCAGGCCATTTCCACCTGGGTAGATCAGGCTCTAATAATTCAGCCACATGGTTGTGTACTGAAAAGCGACACAGGGTGGTTGTGGTGTCTGAGAAGGGGGTGAGTATTTTACTTTAAGGCATTAAAAACCCAGGTAAATTCACTACAGGGATTGTGTCAGCCTGCTCTGAAATTAAGCAACATCTGGACTGGAACGTGGCATCTGTTTTAACAGTGCCCAGAAATAGCACCCACCGATTTTCAGGTCGGGAAGCTGGGAACATCCTGACCATCTGAAAATGCCAAGGGAGGCAACTGTAGGTGGGTGGGGTGTTATTACCCAGCAGTGGTGTGTGGCCAGGGGCCCAGAACACCTCTGACAGTGCTCCAGGCTCAGCTCTGCACCCTTTGGGACCTTTGAGCCTCTTTTCCTCTTTGCTTTTCCTTTCTCTGCTTTTTCTGGCACTGAGGACTTTATCCCAGGCTTTTGTTTCGGGCTTTGGGGAGTTATCAAGTTGCAGCCTCATTTTTACATGCATTTGTCTTGGGAGTGTCACCTTGTCCCCTCAGTGTCCCCTGCTGAACAGTTGTTTCACACTGTGAGGCACAAGTTTGGCACAAGTTAGAATTTCGAGGTGCTTCTGTTGTTTTTTACTAATAACACTTAATGAGGTGTTTCCTCATGCCATTGCCTTTGCTGATGGCTGTCTTCTAATATTGATCCTTAATGAAAGCAGGAGTAAGATACATGCAAACTTTACTGCACAGGAAAACTGAACATGTATTTACTCTGTTCAAAATCTGTTTTCTTCAGAGCAGTTGATATTGGAGTATCTGTATTGAAGCAGGAGTGGGCAGGTACTTGGGATTTGGCAATATTAAGGGAGAAATGTGTTAATTCCCTAAAAACTTACCAGGGCATACTTACCAGGTTGTTTTCGGTCATTTCTAGGAAGTCCAAAATCTGTAATGAAAAATCTTTGTCCTACAAACAGCATTCTTATGATGTTATCACATAAAATATGGATTTTAATATTTAACTTAATGCTCTGCTATGAGAAATATGTAAACTTGGCTCTGGAGCAGCAGCACGCACTTCCTGGAATTCCATGCATGGTGTGGCTATAAATAGGCAGCAGGTTATTTGGGAATCACTGGGGCTGGTCTGGTGTCACAGAGAAACCGTGTTTTTGGAAGAATGCAAGTTCTTGATTTTGGGAATTCCTGTCTGAGTGAATCCCAAGTGTCCTGGAGCACGGACCAGCTCCTCCCCATGCCGGAATTCCCTGTGTTCAGGGGAGCCTTGGGACTGTCCCCTTCACCAGGACACCGCCTGGGGCTCCTCAGGGCTTTTGGGGAGTTCCTGGGCTGGTTTGGGGGATTCCCCCCGGCAGGATTGTGTCCAGCACCACCACACGGAGCCTGTCTGAGTGTCCCGGAGAGGTGAATTATGACAACAAATAATGACAACAATAAAGGGGTAGGAGCCAGCTGATTGCTGAAGTAATGGTACTCAAACATCTTTGTTTGTTTCATTGTGACTAAATTGTTGTTTGTATTTTTTTTGTTTTTCTGATGTAAAATTCCTCCTCTTTCTGCCTTTTTTTTTTTCCTCTCGTGTGACCAGACCAGAGACGACTTCCTGGGCCAGGTGGATGTGCCGCTCAGTCACCTCCCGGTAAGCAGAGCCCCTGGCCCCTCTGCCAGCACCAGCTGTGGAAACCTGGGGGTGTACAGTCATTGCCACACACAGGCCAGCCACATTCTCCTAAAGCAGCTGCTCCCAGCACAGCAGGGGGCTCGGAGGAAAAGGTTCTGGAGAACCAAACCTCCCCCAGAGAGGAACAGCTGGGCATGGAAGGGATGCACCTTTTGTGGACAGGTTTGCTGCAGCAAAAGGCTGCAAGAACTGTGGCATCTATTCATCATTTGAGCTCAAAATTGAGTTCTCTGCTAGCAGGAACAGTTCTAATAGCAAGTAATTAAAAGTAATGGACACAGGGTTTGAGCCATTTTATGTCAACAGTTAGATTATGGAGGTAATGTTTGTTTGTTTCTGTTTCTTAATAAATTGAGAGATTCAGTGTAAAGCTGGCTCTGTAATTCCCTGAAGCTGCAGTTGCCTGCTTTCCTTCCAGCAGCCAGGATTCTGCATGGACCGCAAAATTAAGTGCAATTTCTATTTCCATATGTATATAAATAGAAGTAAATATATATCTGTGTACATGCAGTGATTGTTTCAACCTTGCTACAAACATTTCTGGTTTGGGTGACCAACATAGGCTGTATGTAGTGTTTTTAATGTTGTACATGTTGATCTTACCTCTGTGACCTTGCAGGGGTTTCTAGGTGTGAATGGGTGAAGTTATTGCAAGTGTTTACATCAAAATAAGGTGTCAGTTTAGCATAATTTGCTCTCCGTGTCTGAATTTGGCTTCTTGCTGTTGATGGATGTTATTGTAGGAGGAAAATGGCTTTGTAGTGACTTGCAGGGATGTTTGTTTAGATCTGTGTGTTGTGGTTGATCTGGAGTCGTAATTCTGGGGTTGTAATAGTTGCAAACTCTGATGGAATGATCAGAAACATGTTCTGATGGAAAATACCTCCTTCCATTCTGCTGGGAACTCGTGCCATCCGAACTGTGCTGTGCTGTGCTGGTGTGGGTATCTCCATTTACATATCTATATGCACAGACATGATCTAAATAATAAGAAGTTGTAAGGAAGCTGAAATTCTTGTGGAATAGGAAGTTTTCAAGATCCCAGGCTTTATGAGAGTTAGGGTTGGATGGAAATCAGTGATGTAATCTGTTCTTTATGTGGCTGGACTTGTGAGCAAGCCCTTTAATTTGCCATTTTCTCCCCTGCTCCCAGACTGAAGACCCGACCATGGAGAGGCCGTACACATTTAAGGATTTCCTCCTCAGACCAAGAAGGTGAGAGGAAGGCCCTGTGTGCCTGAGGAGGTTTCTTCCTGGCGCATTTTTTTATTTGAGTCTTGGTAAATGGAATGTACCTCCTTGTCTTCCAGCCACAAGTCTCGTGTGAAGGGTTTCCTGAGGCTGAAGATGGCTTACATGCCTAAAAACGGGGGCCAGGAGGAGGAGAACAGTGATCAAAGGGACGACTCCGAGGTAAGGCTGAACGCTCCTGGAGATTGAAGTCAAATTGTCAGAGCAGCTGTACCTTGAGGGGTAAAGGCCTGGGAGCAGTTGGTTCTCTTTGGAGCCACCAGGATAACACCCAGCCACCTTTGGGAATCCTTCTTTGATAGACAAGAGGAGGGTTGAGTTCCTTTCTCATTGAAATGAGGTGAGCACACATTGAAAGGAGGTTTTTTTTCCCTTCATTCCTAAGCATGGCTGGGATGTGGTTGATTCCAGTGACTCTGCGTCCCAACGTCAGGAGGAGCTGCCACCTCCTCCGCTGCCTCCTGGATGGGAAGAGAAGGTGGACAACTTGGGACGGACTTACTACGTCAACCACAACAACAGGACCACCCAGTGGCACCGGCCGAGCCTCATGTGAGCAGCCCAGGGCAGGGGGTGGGGGCAGAACTCCTGGGGACCTGCATCAAAAGCTGTCCCTTTTATGCTTGGAAGAATTCCCCACCCCCAGCAAATCACAGAGACACAGGGATATTCTGGGTAGTTCCAGGAAATCTACAGGAGTGGGAGGGAAGTCAGTGCCTTAAACAATGTACCTTAAGAACACGGGGAGACAGATGGGGAATTTTTCAGTTAGTAATTTAACAGGAATTAATTACTTTGTTCTACAGAGGTTGTTGAAAAGGTAAGGAAAAAAGTCAGCTCTGTTCAAAGTTTGAATGAGGTTGAACAGATTAGCTTGGAGGAGATCCTGGTTATTCCTCAGTGTGTAGGCTGCATTCCCTGGATGTGCTAAGGCCCTTCCCAACCTGGTGTTACGTGTTCTGGGACATTTGGGAAGTGCTGCCAATTTTATTTGCTTAGGATTGAGGGAGTGAATGATCTCCTGATTATGAAGCCTGACATATGCACGAATAATGATTTTTATCACCAGAAGCATTACCAAGGTTTTGAAGGCAGTGAACAAAAGTATGGGTTTAGTTTAATTCAGGTTATTTTCGTGTTCTTTCCTCCCACCCTGCAGCGATGTGGGCTCAGACTCTGACAACAACATCAGGCAGATAAACCAGGAGGCGGCTCACCGGCGGTTCCGCTCTCGGAGGCACATCAGCGAGGACCTGGAGCCAGAGCCCACGGAGAGCGGAGACATCCCCGAGGTGTGTGCCAGTCTGGCCTTTGGAAGAAGTGGAATAAATTGTATAAAGAAGGGAGTTGGACTGGCTGAACTGCCATGTGTTTCAGTTTTCTGTAGTGCCTTGATTTAGGGCAAAGAGAAGTTAGTTGGTGTTTGGTTGTTCCTCGCAGCGTGGTGATCACATGAAATGCTCGGTCTCTCTAAATCCCTAACTTAGTTTCTTCTGTTTTCTTAGCCTTGGGAAACCATCTCAGAGGAGGCAAGTGCCAGTGGAGATTCCTTAAGCTTGTCACTGCCACCCCCTCCTGCATCCCCAGTGTCCCGGACCAGTCCTCAGGAGCTGTCTGAGGAGCTGAGCAGGAGACTCCAGGTCACTCCTGACTCCAACGGGGAACAGCTCGGCTCTTTGATTGTACGTAACGTGCTGCTCTTCCCGGGAACCCCTGCTGCTGGAATGGGCTCTTATTTGGGATAACCTGAGGCATTTGGACTCATGGGGAGGGACTGCTGGTCCTGGGAAAACCTGAGCATACAGTTAGCATTGCCTTCCAAAAATGCCTCACAGTCCCACCATAGGACAAACCACCTCAAACAACAAATTTCATAATCAGATTTGGTGTTTCTTCTTTGTGTCTTGGGAAAGAGGAAAATTAAGACTGAATCTTTTTGTGTTTTTTAAGAAATACCATAAATCCCTAAGTAAATTAATTTTTGTAGTATTTGATCCTGGATTTACTTCCTAACGCTTTATTTTGGTCAATAATCCATGAATTTGTTCATGTTGACATTTCTTCTTTGTTAAAATGAATGAGCTTTTTTTTTTTGGTGTGTTATATATGAAGGGTCACTGTCAACAGAGAAATGGTATTTACCATTAGATAATGATTGTTTAAGGAGATTATGTTCCAAAGAGGTTAGTACCTGTAATTACTGAATTTACCGAAATTACTGAATAACCTGCATGTTTTTAGACACATTAACTCATAGACACCTTTCTTTTGTTTTTCTTGCAGCAAAGAGAACCTTCTTCGAGGCTGAGGTCGTGCAGCGTGACAGACGCAGTGGCTGAGCAGTCGCAGCTATCCCTGGTAAGCCAGAGCTCCCCTGGAGTTCTTCCTTTCTGCTTGGGCATCCTCTGATTCTGAGTAACACCTTTCCTTGGATCAGCTCTGTGACCCATAAAGTGATTTTACTTGCAATATATAAATCTGTCTAACAACCAAAAGGGATTGGTCCTTTGCCTGGTTGCAGTGAAAAGGAACCTTTTTGTGGTAGTCATGGTAGGACAGACCTGGATGGAATTGCAGTTCTTGACTCTGAGGGACTTAGGGAAGGAGATCCTTCAAACAGGAGAAGATACAGAGCTGGTTTGTAAACAAAGCTTCTCTCTCCCATCAGCACCAAGCACACCTTTGGTGCAGCTGACAGGAAGGGTGTGCTTTTGAGTAAAACCGGTCAGATTGCAGAAGAGTGTTTTAAAAAGTTATACTTCCAGGATTTTCCCTCCAATTTTGTATTAGGAATCTGTCACGTGTGAGTCTGCAAGTAGAAAATCTGGGCATATTCTTTACTGCAATATTATGTGTAGTACATCAGTAAGTTTGTTGCTGATGTTGATGTCGCTCCTCTGCTGGTTCTCTCTGTTTCTTGGGCAGACATTTACAGAAAGCTCTGAGGTTTCCTCTTGGGTGAATTATCTGCCTCCTTTCTCTCTGGGGGTGTGCAGTGGGCTGGGTGCCAGGGCAGGACACTCAAATGTTCGAGCCAGCAGCACTGAGAGCGCTGCTCTAAAGCATCATCTTGCCTGATCTTAACCAGATTTAATCCTTCTTGGGCCAGTGATCAGTTCTCTTCTGGCAGCTAAGCACATTCTTTCTTCCTGAATGCAGCACTTGGAGATTCTGGCTTGGTTACCAGTGATCAATGCCTTTTGCTTCTGCTGTTATCTTAAAGATTTTTTTCTATCCAATCAATCTCTCTTAATAAATGTGATTGTCTGTGATTCCTTGCTCCTAAAGATGTGGCAGTAACCCGTGACCCTCCTCAGTAAATAAGTGTATCATTCATTATCATTTAACAGCAGAGTGGTCCCTCTAGGAGAGCTCGTTCTTCAACTGTCTCAGGTGGAGAGGAGCCAACGGTAATAAAACTCTTTATCAAGCACTACCTCGAAAGAAAATGGGGGGACATTTAGGTCTTGTGCAGGGAGGATTTTTTTAATTCACATCCCATTCTTTAACCTGATCAACTGTCAGTCTGAAGCGACTTATTCCGTGGAAATCATTTCTAGCAGCCATCATAAATAGCTTCTATGAATTTGTGCCCTCCTAGATAATTTGTTTCAGGGGAAAAAAAATTTAATTTCAACTTGGTATGTTTGCTGTTTATGTCTGGGATATAAATAAGTCTTAATTTGGGCGCTGATGCATCGTTCTGTAATACTGTCTCTACTGACTGGTTGTTGAATTTTAGAACCAGTGGGGCACACTTGGAAATAGCAAATGCCTAAATGAAGTGCCTGAGTCATTCATGGTTAGTTAATTGTGCTAGATTGACCTGCAGTGCAGAGGTGCTCTTTTGGCAGAGGATCTGGTCTTGGTTAGACATTTTAGAGTATTTTTCTGTAAAAAACTGAGTTCCAACATCCCTGACCCATCGTTACTGCAGCTGTATCACAGATGTTTTACCTCATCATGCTGCAGCTCACTGATCTCCACCTTGTCTCCATTCAGCACTTGCACTCAGAGCCCCAGATCTGTGCAGGAATTGGGACTTAAGCTGGATTCATGGTCTAAATCTAAAAGTTTTATCTTCAAAGGCTCCATTCTTTTGAGTCTTTGGGCACCACATCAGTCTCAGAGTTTGTACTTAATTTCCTCATCTGTTCCCCTCTGTTTTCCATTCACTGTTGGGGCTTGTCAGTTCTCTGACCCATCCAGTATCTTCTGTCCTTTATTTCCTTGATTCTGCAGCTCGTTGTGTCAGCCCTGCCTGTCCTCAGGACACCAAACCCTGAGTGTGCAGCATTTGTGACACAGCAAAACGGTTCAGCCGCTGTCTCTAAACCCACAGGAGTTTCTGGCAACTGATTCAACCCTGTGGTAAAGAGGAAAACAGGGCTTGGGAGATCTTGACTGCAGGGTTATTTAACTCTTACTTATCCATACTGATAAAAGGAAAACAAATCCAGCTTTCTAAGCAAAACTCATTAAAACACAGAGTTCCTTTTTGTCACTGTTTGTAACCTGCGAATTAAAAAGTTGGAGGGCACATAAGCTGGGCTGTTTGCTGAACAAGATAGCTGAATCTGTGGCAGACTGATCCAAAAGATCTCTTGGGTGAAAAAATAATTTGACTCAAAGAGCTTGTGTTAAATGAAATCAGAAAGCAGATTTTTCCATGTGCTTGCTGTGATTAAGAATGGTGTAAGTTAACGAGTCGCTTTTTTAAAAGGCAACAGACTTTGAACTGTTTGTAGCTGTTATAAAATAATAATAGAAATAGTAAAATAATCTAAAATAAGAACACAGTGGTTTCTTGCCCGAGCAGCCCTCCGTGGCCTACGTGCACACCACGCCGGGGCTGCCCTCGGGCTGGGAGGAGCGCAAGGACGCCAAGGGCCGCACCTACTACGTCAACCACAACAACCGCACCACGACGTGGACACGGCCCATCATGCAGGTACCTGCAGGCACAGACACTCAAACACTCAGCCTGGGTGAGGGTGACCTCAGCTGGAACCCCATCATGCAGGTACCTGCAGGCACAGAGCAAGCACTCAGCCTGGGTGAGGGTGACCTCAGTGGGAACGGCTTCCACAACTCTGAAATTTGAGGGAAAAAGCCCAAGTGTTGTCAGGACAGCTCAGGTGAATCGTAACAAATTGCAGCGATTGAGATGGTTTTTCTTTTACCTGTGTTTGAGGCACAGACCGAGCTGGTTGCTGCAAGGGGAGGCATTTCCAGAGAGGTGCAGAGGAAACTGCCAAAAGGAGGCAAATGTGTTCTTAGGATTGAATATGAAATTGGCCTGATCCATTAATAGAACCATGAGTTATTGGCCCTTCCAACAGAATTACATGAAATACTTATCTTTAGGAAAGGATGTTTAAGGACAGCCATCCTAATGATGTTTGAAGCACCCTGCCTGTGGCTGCGCAGTGTTTGTGCCCTTTGTGACTTGTCTTTGCCCCCTCAGCTGGCCGAGGACGGCATGGTGGCACCAGGCAGCAGCAGCAGCAACCACCTGAGCGAGCCGCAGATCCGGCGGCCCCGCAGCCTCAGCTCCCCCACCGTCACCCTGTCGGCCCCGCTGGAGGTGAGGACACTCCTGGCTGCTGGCCCTGCAGCTCCTGTTTGCCTTTTAGCTGTGCTTGTCTTTCCAAAGGGTGTTTAATTTCTTTTAAGCCTCTTTCAAAGCAATCCCGAGTGCTGTGGAATGGCGTTCACTGCCACGTGCCTGAAAAATAACTGAGCTGGCTCCTCAAACAGTCAAAGCCTCTGTGTGTTTGGCTTGTGCCAGTGTGATTGAAACCATTGACTCAGCTACACATGGCTGTGCTGAGGAGAGCAAGTTCTTCAGATTTCCTCTTCACACTTGGAGTCTGAAGAGCTGTGGCTCACGTGGCCTGTAGGCTTTCTTGTAAATGAGATATATTGCATCGTGAAGCACAAAGCACTGCTTGTATTTTCCCCTGGTAAAATGAATTGTGGACACATCCAGGGGAAGATACAGTCAGGTGTAAATACTGGGGACACTGTCATTGCAGAGGGAAGGGACTGGCACAGGGTCCTTCACAGCAAAAGGCTCGGTGTAGAAGAAGCAAGACAGACCTAATTAAGTTCTGGGAAATCAGTCCCAGCGCTTAATTCTGATATTAATTACATCTGGAATGAAGAACTCTTTGCTGTGAGGCCGAGTTGGGTGTGTTTTGGTGAGCAATGTTGGTGTTTCCTGCTCCACAGGGCATGAAGGACTCTCCGGTGCGCCGGGCGGTGAAGGACACCCTCTCCAACCCGCAGTCCCCACAGCCATCCCCCTACAACTCCCCCAAGCCCCAGCACAAGGGGGCCCAGAGCTTCCTGCCCCCGGGCTGGGAGATGCGCATCGCCCCCAACGGCCGCCCCTTCTTCATCGACCACAACACCAAGACCACCACCTGGGTAAGGGCTGTCCCCGCTGCTCTGGCCCCAGGGACCCTGCTGGGAAATGCTGCTGCCTGTTTTCCTGCCTGCACACCCCTCTTAGGGTGGCACTCGCCTTGTCTTTGTTTGTAAGAGCCCTTATGGAGTGCAGGCAGCTTAAGGAGTGCTGAGGGCTGTGGGTTTTGCAGCACATCCCTGGAGATGCCACACTTAGTGGAGTCAGATCTTACATCCCCCTAACTCTTAACACTGAAAAATTCACTGTAGTGTAGGAATCCTAATAAGGCATGTTTTGGTTTATTCTCAAAAAAATAGCTGTAATGTAGGAGGATTTCCAGGTAACTCTGTGCTTGGCTGAGTTTGTAGATCTGCCTCCATCCGGTGGATTTTCAGTTCCACGTTTGTGTTCCAGGAGGATCCACGGCTGAAGTTCCCCGTGCATTTGAGATCCAAAGCATCTCTGAACCCCAACGACCTGGGCCCTCTTCCTGTAAGTGACCCCGTGCCTGTGTTGTGTCCTACACCCGCTGTCCCTGCCATTGGCACTGGGCATGGAGCAGGAATGCCCTTTGGCTTTAGGAAACAGCTGTGGGAGGAGCTGTGCTCCTGCAGTGCTCCAGGTAACCTTGGAGACACTGGAGGACCAATTACAGTTTGTTGTGTTAACTGCAGGAGGTGGGAGCTGCAGTGAAATAGATAATTAGCAACTGCTTTCACCTCAGAATTTAACTAGAGTTTCTGACTACAGAATTTAACAAGGGTTTCCCAAAAAAGATTGCAGTGAAATAATCTCTCCTCTATATTTTATGGAAGTCCAGGCTGGCCTGCATTGCCTGTCCCAGCACCAGCCATCCCTCCTCCTTTCTGCACTGCAGTCTCCTGGGAGATGAGGAAGGGGAATAGATCAAAAGGGAAGCACTGAGGATGAGCTTAGGGCATTCCTGTCCCACTCTACTGGGATCCCGGGTTACACATTTACAGTGGCTTGCAGAAGTAGGAGCAGAAACTCTCAAGCTAAGCCATGGTGGACCATCTGTTCCCTGTGATTGTTTGCCCACAGCAGGAAATGGGTGTAAATCCTGTGGCAAGAGCTTTCCACTTGCAAGCTTTAAAAAAACATTCCCTGTGTGAGATGCAGTCACCTGTCTAATTATCCAGGTCTGAGCGTGCTTTGTGGCATCTCTGGCAGTTCCAGGAGGTGGGCAATGCATTGCTTCAGGCTGTGTGACACTGGCACTCTTTTACTTATTTTTCTCTTCTGTTTGTTTTTTATTTCCCATTTCCAGCCTGGCTGGGAGGAAAGAATACACCTGGATGGAAGGACGTTTTATATAGACCATAGTAAGTAAGCACTCAGGCAACTAGAGCAAACAGAGGGAGGTACCAAGTATGGAAGTGAAAGCTTTGTGATTTTACTCTTCATTTAGGAAGCCAGGTGTTGATATGTGGAGACATTGATACCAGAGACTTAGTGCCCTCCTACGGTACTGTACATTCACTGGAAGCTTGCTTTAATTGGCTCATCAAGCTTTGTCCCTCTCTGACTTGTGAAGCATTAACATTTCCTCTCTGTGGTTTCTTTCGTTCTTGTTGATATTTTGGATTCGTCGTTGTTGTTGTTGATGATCCCATGGCTTATTTTGCACTTAATAAATTAAAATCTACACTAGGAATAGAAAATAAGATGAGAAGAGATCCCGTAGCCACAGCTCCACGTATGGGCAGTGGAGCAATTAGCACTGAGAAGTACTTTGCTCTGCTTTCAGAAGGTTTGTGGCAGTGCTGATTCTGATCTTATTTCCTATTTAGAGCATGTGAAACTGCACCAGCCCATTAATATCCTCCAGTTCTGTTAGTGGAGTTCTAGTGTAAGTGATGTTTCATTGTAGACTTGTCTTCCTAAGAGCATCTCAGAACTGCTGTGTGAGTTTTGTTGGTGTTTGGACACAAAGCAACCCACAAAGGCTGGGCTGGGTCTTCTCCTTGCTGTTTTTGATGTTTTTTTCTTTTTTTAAACTTCAAGACTCATCATGAGATATTTCTTCACAGCCACAGCCACCTCACATAACTCCCTCAGAGGAGGGTACAGAGAGGTTAAAATCTAAGCTGTTCCCCGTGTTTGACACAATCAGGTTTGTCCCTCAGTCTGAGTAACAGACTCCCAAGCTCACCTACAGAGATGACACTATTAAGTCATTATTATTAAGGTAGTACCAATTTTCCAATGGTGTAAATAGTTTAAACTAAACCTTAGAAATAATCCACTCGCCAAGCAGCAGATGAACGTCTTTTATTAGCCTTTATCTCTTCTGTAAATTGTTTTCCCCAGCAGAGGTCTGGAAATGTAACTGTGGCAAATGATTCCAAACTGCTGCCACTCAGGAGTCACAGAATAAAACTGCCCCCTTTCAAACACTTGTATAACTGCTGAGCCTCCCCATCTCTCTTGAAAAGTTTAATTTTTCAGTCACCTAAAGCTATTTGAGCATGTGTTAATCCCTAAAACAGAACGTTAAAGTGGTACATTAATTAGAAATCTCCAAAAGATTTAGAACTGTTAGAAAGCAAAATGTATTTGCAGCTGAGTTCTCTCTCTAGTGTCTTTTGATCTCAGTGGTTTTAGGTTTTTTACCTGGCAGTTTTCACAGGAGTTTTGGGAAGTTTGTGGTAACGCTGCTTGTTTCCAGCCGATGTGCCTTTGGTCCCAGCCTGATGGCCTGGTGGTGCCACTGCAGGTGGGCTGGGGGGCCTGGAGGGCACTGCCAGGGCACATTAATAGGGCAGGTGCCGACAGATTGAGCTACAGTGTTACTGGTGCAGCAGAGGGTGTTACTGGTACCAGTCTGTGTGACAGTACGCCCCTCCCTGGCTCTCTGGGCCCTTGGCTCCCCTGTCAGCCTCCCTCCCATGCAGGAGCTGCTGGTCCCTGTTCACTGCAGCCTGCACATGGTGCTGCTCTTCCTCCCAGGAACAACAACCTTCCAGTTGGAAGGGATCAGGAGGGGAAACAGCCCTTCCCCAGCCATCTCCAGCTCTCTCATCCTGTGATGTATCAGCAGGAGTGTCCTAAATCCGACCTGCAGTGCCATCAGCACTGGGAATGCGTGGCTGTGGTTGTTCTGTGTCTGGCAGGGGCTCTCAGCTTTGGGGAAATAGTGAGACCCTTGGAAAGGCAGGGAGGAGAGGGAATCCTCCAACATCTGAGAGCCTGGTTTAGGAGCAAAGACAGAGCACTGTGTTGTGGGAAGACTCAAGGGAGGTGGTAGATTTTCAAAAATGTGCTGGGAGAGGAATGAGTTTGTCTCCTGCATCCATCTGGGATAAGACAGAGAATCCTGAGCTGCAATTCCAGGTAGAGTGGTCCGTGCCACACCCTTTGTATGCTTTTACCATTTGTAAAATGAAGTCCCTGTAGGACTTTGAGAAGTAACTTAGGCAGAGATTTGTCAGTGGCATTGCACACCCTGAAGTGTGGAGAGCAAAGAGCTGACACGTCTCAGTTGTTTCTCTGATTTCCCAGGAAATTGTCACCGTGATTTGTGGCTGCCAGTGGCAAGCAGGTGTAAGAGGTGAATTGGTATCCAACCAGAGAACTCGGTTAGAAGGGAATTCCAGTGAAGGGCTTGAGGCCAGGTGGGAAGGGCTGGTCTGGACATCATTGCTCCAAGCATCTCTGGGGTCTCTGGAGCTCAGGCTGACAGCTTTCCAGCATTTCCAGCAGTGATAAATAGCCTTAATGGGTCAAGGGAAATCAAACAGTATTTTAATATTAAATTAACTAATAGAACAAATGTCTTGAAATGTGCTTGCAGTCCTTTTGAATTTTCCCCAGTTAACATTTGCTGACTGTCACCTTTCAGATCCCAGTCCCTCCCTCTTAAACCAGCTTGGGATGCTCACAATTTACAGGGCTTTTCCAGCTCTAGAAACGTGGAAAATACAACCTTAACTCCTAACCCTGAGTTCCTAACCCAGCAAACAGAGGGAGTGAGCACAGGCAGGGGGTGACTGGTGCAGGGGCACCTGGGTTGTGGGTTGGAGCGTTGTCTTATTGTTGCAACACCATCGTTCTGTTGTGATTCCGTTGTGTTCAGAATCTTGGGAGGATCAGCTGTCTGGAGGCAGGGAAGGGAGAGTTCCACCACGGTCCCGTAGAACCTTCCTGTCACCCTCCTGAGGCTCTTCAAAGCTGCAGATGGAAAGAACTGGGCTGTGTTGTGCCACTGCCAGCATCTCCTTTGGTCACAGCTGGATGATCTCTTGTACCATAACTGGACAGTTCTGTCTCTCTTAATGGTCCTGTAATCTTCTCATTAAATCAGAGCCTAGGGAAAACGTTATTCCCTCCAAATTTTAAAGTATGACATTTTGGCTGCTTTTCCAAACAGTGTGTCAGTGGACAGAGGTTTGGAGTTCCATTGCCTGTATCTGCAATCCCAGCCCATGTTCAAGTGAACATTTTCACTCCTGCAGACGTTGCCATCAGAGCAGTGCAGGTCCCCTGGGTCTGGGGTAGTTCTGCCTTTTTGAGTTGAGTGTTTGCAGCTGAACAGTGTGCTGGGGCTGGTGCAGGTGGGGGACACAGCCTTGGCTGACCCTGACAGAGCGAGCTGTGCAGAGCGGCAGGGAGAAAAATCCAACAGGAGGAATTCCCGGTGCGGCCCCGGAGAAGTCACGGGATCGTTTCTTTGTCATTTGCAGATAATAAGATTACCCAGTGGGAAGACCCCAGGCTGCAGAACCCGGCCATCACGGGCCCAGTAAGTGCTGCTGTGGGATTTTCCATGGAAAATGGGATCCACTGGAGCAGGCAGGAGCATTGCCCAGCAACCTTAGAAAAAACAAGGACAGCATTTTACTTTGATGTATCAAATTTGATGCTAAAGACTGATTGACCTTTTTATGCTGATTTAATGCCAGTTTTTGGGGGATGTTTAAATTTCTCCTGGCTGCTGTTGCCAGTGCAGGGTGGGTATAGGGGAGCCCATGGCACACACACCTGTGGGTAGCAGGGCTGTGAATGCTGTCGGATATCCAAGTGCTGAGCAGCTGGAATGACGCGTCCTCCTGCTCCTCTCCCGCCAGGCAGTTCCGTATTCCCGGGAGTTCAAGCAGAAATATGACTATTTCCGGAAGAAGTTAAAGAAACCCGTGAGTAGCTCCATGTGGGCCCAAGTAGGAACCAAAACCAGGAAGATTAATTTCTCGACAAAAATTATTTCTGAGTCTTCAAGACACACATTTTTGTAGATAAATGCAAATGCCCTTAAAGTAGAGCTTAGGAATATCAATCCTTTTCTCTGTTTTTTTTGTTTGTTTGTTACTTTTCTTGTTGTTTTCATCCAATATTTATCATAGAAATCTCCAGCACTGTACTGGAACTGGCCCAGTTCCCCCCATGCTCCCAACCTGTGGACTGAGCACTGGGAAGCAAAACCAAGGGGAACTTGAACACCGTTTGTCTGATCTGTCACTGTTACCACTGTTAGGAATTCACCCAAAGATTTATTTCTTGAGACTTACAAGTGTAATCTAATCTTCTTTGACACAGGCTGATATACCCAACAGATTTGAGATGAAACTACACAGAAATAATATTTTTGAGGAGTCCTACAGAAGAATCATGTCCGTGAAGAGACCTGATGTACTGAAAGCCAGGCTCTGGATTGAATTTGAGTCAGAAAAGGGACTTGACTATGGAGGTGTGGCCAGAGAGTGGTTTTTTCTCTTGTCCAAGGAGATGTTTAACCCTTACTATGGTCTCTTTGAATACTCAGCCACGTGAGTACCCACTAAATATTTCTGTTGCCATTTGTTACCTTGTGCATAAGAGGCATAGTTGCTTTGGGCAGAGTCAGCTCCTCCTTCCCAGGGTGTCCTGGGCAGCCCCACCACCCTGTTCCCTGCCCTCAGAGAGCCTTGGGCATCGTCCTTGCGAGCCCAGCAATCATTTCATTGCTCAGACAATATCCAGGGCAGCAAAAGTGCAGTGCCCTGCACAAACTGGGGGCTGTCCAGTGTTCAAATCCTGGGGCAATCCATTCAGTGCCAGTCTGAGAGGGAGTGGGTTTGGGTTGCAGGGCTGTGAGCGAGCCCACAGGGTTTGGTGGTGCCAGCAGCAGGCTCAGCCTCTCCAGTGGGTGGTGAACAGGCTGTAAAGGGGATGTGAGGGGCTGCAGCACGAGCGTCTGGCAAAGACCCGGACTCTGTCGGAGGGAAATGGCCTAAGCACGACTCATTTATTTACGTGTCTGAGTACCTGGTGATTTCAAGACTTGGTCCTTTAGCTGTTTTTTTTCTTTCCCCAAAAAAGGGACAACTACACACTTCAGATTAATCCTAATTCAGGTCTCTGTAACGAAGACCACCTGTCGTACTTCACGTTCATCGGCCGGGTGGCCGGGCTGGCTGTGTACCACGGGAAGCTGCTGGACGGTGAGTGCCCCCCTGCCCTGCCCTGCCCCTGGGAGAAGGGACTGGGACAGCTGGAAGCTGAGTGGGGATGCAGAATTTACACTGTCTTACTCAGCAGATGGGTTTCATATAAAGTTGTGCTCCTTCCCCCTCTTGAGTTAAACCTCCAGAACCAGCGTTGCTACGTGTGATCATCGTCCCTAGAGGAAAAACACGGGATTGGGATCAGCCATTCCCAGGCAAAGCTAGAGCCAAAGCATTCAGGGAGGTCAACTGCAGTGTATTTTGATATGTAAAAATGTTACTGAAAGAATTAATGAGAAAATGCGATTTCTGCTGAATTTGGAAATGCCACACCAAGTAAGCAGCTATTACTGACCAGATCAGTAATTCACCAGCCTGGTTTTCTGGTAGCTCCTTTGAGAGAAGAGTGGGGATTTTAAATGGGATAGAGTGGCCTGAGCATAATTGCCCAGCTTTTGGGTCTCTGTGCTATTAGTGGAATGTGGTAATTAGTGGCATAATTGTTGACATGGAAAAATTGGACTTGCTGTGCCTAAACAAAAGGGAGCTGCTGTGATGCTGTGAGCAGTTCCAGCTGCTCATAGGAAATGCCAGGTGTGCTCTCCAACAGTTCTGCCTTTATGGAAGCTGCAGATGCAGAGCAGGGCAGGTAATGCTCCCCTCTCTCTTCCAGGCTTCTTCATCAGACCTTTCTACAAGATGATGCTGGGGAAGCCGATAACTCTGAAAGACATGGAGTCAGTGGTAAGACAGACACGTTTAGCCCATGCCAACCTTTGCAGCCCCGTGGGTTTGTAGAGCTCTGATCCAACATGCCCGTTTTCAAACCCTGTTTCCTTGTGCTCTGCCCCAGGACAGCGAATACTACAACTCCCTGAAGTGGATCCTGGAAAATGACCCCACCGAGCTGGATCTCATGTTTTGCATAGATGAGGAAAACTTTGGACAGGTATGTGGAAGGTTGTTTACATCTGGTTGTTACCAGCACTGAGCAGTGTCTGGGGCTGAGGGTGATCTCAGAGGAGGGTGGCACAGTGAGGGGCTCTGTCTCAGCTGGTGCCCAAAGGGAAGCTGCCAGGTTTAAAAGGGTCACAGTTGTGGGTGCCTTTCTCCATTACAAATAAAAAGTTGCTTGGATGCTTTTTTTTTTCTTCACATCTTCCCTTTGTTTACCTCTTAGACCTGGATTCTGGCTCCAGGTGTGACTGGTGTTGGGACCACAGGGGCTTTTTTTAACAGCTGACTTCAGCATTTCAAACCATGCCCAGAAGGTCCTGTCAGTGCTCGCTGCCTTTTTCCTGGAGGTTATAACATAAGGTTATGAGTTACATGGAGAAGCAGGAGAGTACTGAAGCCACAGGATGGGGAGGTTTGGATGACACTTGTTGGTTATTGGCAATTTTCATTAGGAATTCAGCTCCAAATTATTGCCAGCCTCTCTCTGCCAGTTTTCCCTTCTGCTGACACGAGTTTGTTCTCTGACTCAGAAGTGTAAATCCATTTACTAATAATTTCCTGGTACTGCCTGTAAAATGCTGCTTGGGCAGAGTGGGTTGTGCAAGAAATGTGGCCTCAATTAACAGGGGTTTTTTTTTTTGCTCCTTTGAAATGCAGACATATCAAGTGGACCTGAAGCCCAATGGGTCTGAAATCATGGTAACGAATGAAAACAAGCGGGAATACATTGAGTAAGTATCCTTCATGGAATGTTGACCCTGCTGCAGTTCCTGTAGTTTGTACTGCCCCAGAACATCAGGGATCCTTGGAAGATTCCATGGCTGGAATTGATTTTTTTATGCCTGGGCCTGCGAGTTGTTTGTGCTGTGGGTGGCTGGCACTGAAAGCACAAGCCTTTGATGATGCAGTTTTATTTATCTCCTGCTTTATTTACAGGGGAGGTGCTGTGTCATGACAGCTGTTCTCAGAGCTTGTAGGCTTTGCTGGGAGTTGTTAATTAATCAGTGCTCTGGAACAATAAGATACCTGCTCTGTAGGTACCTCCAGGAGTTGTGTTGCACACTAAAGTGAAAATATTCCCACTGTAACTCGGTCGTAGTCACTGCTGGTTTGGGTTTGAATTTCAAAAATCCCGTCAGTCTCAGCTGATAAATTGGCAAACCCACCCAGTTTCCTGAACGTGCTGAAGTTGGAAGGGAGAAGATGAAAGCACTGGCTGAGACCTGCTGAGGAGTGTGTGTTTCTGAGGGGGTTTTCTTTCTCTCTGCAGCCTGGTCATCCAGTGGCGGTTTGTCAACAGAGTGCAGAAACAAATGAATGCCTTTCTGGAGGTGAGCTTGCTCTCACAAAGCTAAGTCCTTGTTCTGATGCAGATTTCTTACCCTGGGGTGTGTGTGTGAAGGGAGCGAGGAGCTTGGCTGGGAGTGCAGATGGAATGCTTGTGGTTTATGATTTCGCAGTTTTCCCTTGTCTAAAAATGTATCATCTTTCCTTTATGAGAGTAAGGTCATTCTCTTTCAAGCTAAAATTATTTGAGCTTGAAGTAATTTGGTCACTGATTTTTTTTTTTTACGAGGAGGTGAGAATGTTAACTTTGCTTTGCTTCCTTGTAGGGATTCACAGAACTGCTTCCCATTGACCTGATTAAAATTTTTGATGAGAACGAGCTGGAGGTGAGTCACTTTGGTGCCCAGAGCTCTCAGACAGCTCTCAGACAGATGTGCCACGCTCTGGGCTCCTCAGCCACCCCTCACTCTCCCTGAGGGGTTGTGCCTTGCTCAGAGTGGGAAATGAGATGTTTCTCCCTAATTAATAAATCCGTTTGTGACATACAAAGCACTGCCCTTAGGGAGGTGTTTGTGGCGTGCCTGTAAATGGCTCAGTGACCTGTGCCAGTCACACTGATCACACACCAAGGCTGCTGTCACACTGAGCTCGGTGCAGCAGTGACCGGGACACCCTGGGAATTCCTCCAGGGAAGCTCCAGCTCTCTGGTGTTCCCATAAATGACTGCAGGTCAGAGCCCAGAGCAGGAGTGAGACTGTGCAGTGACACAGACCCTCCCCAACACCCCGATGCTTTGCTTCCCTGCAGCTGCTGATGTGTGGCCTTGGTGATGTCGATGTCAATGACTGGAGACAACACACCATCTACAAAAACGGCTACTGCCCCAATCATCCCGTGATCCAGTGGTTCTGGAAGGTAATACTGGCTCTCCACCTCTGCTCCTAAAAATGAGGGTCACTGCCCTGGTTTGCCATCATTTTTTTTGATGAAAACTCTGAGAATGGGGTGTTGTGCCGGGAGGGAAGCAGCCTCCTCCCACTTCTCACGAGGACAGCAGGGATGGGGCCTGCTTTGTCCTGCCCCAAAACCAAGCCTGACAGTGTGTGTTTGCCAACAGGCCGTTCTGCTGATGGATGCTGAGAAGCGGATCCGGCTCCTGCAGTTTGTGACCGGGACGTCTCGAGTGCCTATGAATGGATTTGCTGAACTTTACGGTGAGCTGCTCGTGGCAGGACAGAAATCCTGCCATGACCCCCCTCAGACATTAAATACTAGTGTCTGAGTTTACTTCCTCTGCATGACACTCAAACAAGCTCAGAAAGAACGCACCACATCTCTATTGCTTTAATTGTTTGTGTAAGAGGTGAAAAATCCACAGCCGATGTCAACATTTCCTGTTAGAAACTACCTAAACATTATTTTTGTGGTGTCCAACCATTTCTATTTCATCTGGTTTTTATTTTCACCCAGGTTCAAATGGTCCTCAGCTGTTTACAATAGAGCAGTGGGGAACTCCTGACAAGCTGCCCCGAGCTCACACCTGGTAAGTCACCAAAGCAGAAGGGCCACTCTGGGGACCGTGCTCAGCTCTGGATCCTTTGCTCAACTCCGAGCCTCACACACTCTTAGCCTCACAGACTAAGAAATTGGATATTATTTTATTGTTCCCCATCCTAATAAGTGGATTTAAGTGGAACTACAGCGAGCCTGACATGCCCAGCAGCCACAGAAAGGCCATAAATTGTTGGACAAGTCCAAACAAATAGAAGGTCACAAGATGACTTCCTAGAACCCTGGTTGACAGAATTTGCAAACGTTGAAAGCATTCGGTACAAATCTGTCTTGCTCTGTGGCATTTCAGGAATGCAGCTTTTTAAAGACAAACTGCAGAATGGGAAAACTGATTTTTTAGAACATCAGTACAGGCTTGGGAATCTTTCAATTAAAAAAAAAAAAAAACCAACAACCAAAAAACAAAAACACAGAAAACCCCAACAAACAAAACACACTCCAGAGTGAACCTTCTAATTGTTAGCTTTTAGCTTTGGAAGACTTTTCTTGGGTGTTTAATCTTCTTTTTCCCCCGGAGAGAGAAGGTCTCGCCTCTAAATGCAGAGCATCTTTGCTGAGCCTCAAGAAGCCAGTCTTTTGACAACGATGACATTTTTTCCAGCAGCTAAATACAGCGAAGGGCTTTCTGTTGGCTTTTTTTTTTTTCTTCCTTTCCTGAGTGGTTTTTACCCAATTCCTGCTTCCAGGAAAGACAGCACGTGGTTAGTGGAGAGCTCAGCAGGGCAGGTGCGTGCGGGGAACGCTGTGGATGAACCACGAGCTCCGCTTTCTGCCAGGGCCCCCCGGATTGCTCGTGTCTTTAGAAGCGTGCCCGCTTTTCCCCGGGTGATGGAGTGACCCTGTCCCTTGTCCTTGCAGCTTTAACCGCCTGGACTTACCTCTGTACGAGTCCTTCGAGGACCTGCGGGAGAAGCTCCTCATGGCCGTGGAGAACGCCCAGGGCTTCGAAGGGGTGGATTAGGCCGGTGCCCCGTGGCCCTCCAAGCACGTTCTGCTGCAGCCTGGCCCTGCCCCGGGGCACCCCAGGGCCCGTGGGGAGCAGTTGGGCTGGCACCGGGCCCGGGATGGAGCCGGGATGGGACCCTCCCTCCCTCCCACCCTCCGGCAGCGCGGGGGCCGAGCCCCCGGCTGGGACCGTCCCCGGCCCCTGGGGGGGCCTCGCCCGCCCTCCCCGCAGGGGCTGCCACCGGATCACATTTCAGCAGGACTTACTCTATTTATGTCGTGCCTCTGTAGGCAAAGCCCTTAATAAATATTTTACATAATTTCTAATGACAATGAATGGAATTAATCATTTTACAGGTATGGTATTACAGCTCATGTTTACTTTTTAATTGATTTAGACATTTTCAGATTTCGTTACAATTAAATATCATATACTTGGAAAAATGAGCATTTTTCTTAATTTCATACCAGACTTGATGCCACTGTCATTTTTTTTTAAAGCACATTGAGGCTTGTGTTCCCAAACCTTTAGGAGAGTAGGAGAAAGCTGTGTTGGAAGCTGCTGTATCTCAAGAGCAACTCTCTTCATTAAGCACATCAGTGTTGTTCTGTATCCAGAAGGATGGGCTGGAAGTTGCATTTTTGTAAGTACTGGAAGAGTGTCAGGGCTGGGCAGAGCCCTGACACAGCATGTCCGTCTGCCTCGGTCCTGCCAAGCTGTACATGTGCTGCAAAGCATCGGGGCTGGCATTGGCATTAATCTGTTAGGAAAACTTGCTGAACTCTGTCATTCTCTCTGTACAGTGACTCTTTTTCCATCCTTTCCCTGCTCCTGTTTGCAGTGGGGACATTTGGAATGAACAGTGGCACTGTGGAACACAGCTCTGCTCTGGCTCCTGTTTGTGTGCACTTGCTGATGAACCTTATTAACACTGGGGTTGTTTGTTTCTAACTGCACTGACTCTAAAGGCACTTTCTGTACCACAGGGAAGGTAGACCTGGTTTGAGCATAAATGTTAATGTGGTTTGACTCCTGTCCACTGCCCATGTCCTTCCTGGTGCAGGATCTGCCCGTGGTGAATTTGGCTGCTGCTGCTGTACAAAGGAAAACCCAACCAGCTCTAGAGCTGAGCCTGCAGACAAATGTTCCTCAGCAATTGTCTTTGTGATTTCTTTTTCTACTTACTCACCAAGATTTATTTAATATCCAGTGCTATCTAATCCTTTTTGTTACCTATGACCTGTTGCATGCCTGAACTATAATGTCTGAGTTGCATCTGTTTTGTGACGGATTAAAGGTGACAGATTTGTGCTCGCCCCAGTGCAGTGACGTGGTGACAGCACTGCTGGTCAGGGCTCCAGTGACCCCGCAGCTCTGCCCAACCCCTTCCCAACAGCCAGGCGAGGTGGCACCACGTGCCAAAACAAAATCCCCCCTCCCTGCCAACACCTTTCCAGTGCCCACCGCCGAGCCTGCAGCCAGGAGCACTCCAGCTGGGAAGGATCCGCGTGCTGCCAGCGGTGCCACGTGCCTGAGGAAGGTTAGGGTAGCACTTGCACACAGGGTAAGGTTGGTTCTCTGTTGAATACAATTCCTGACATTGCTTTCTCTCCTTTTCCGTTCGAGGAGTGAGCTGGAGGACGAGACAGTGGTGGCACCCACGTAGACAGAAACGCTGTGCTGAGGCTTGCCTGTGAGGAGAGAGTAGGAAAATGCAGGTATTCCCACTGACGTGGATGGATGTTAAGCACAGCTGGTTTCCCTTGGGGAAAGGGATTTGTTTTGTCTGCCCCTGAAGGCTTTCTGGTGAGGTCCAGTGCCATCCAGCAGAACTTGGGAGCTGCTGGGGCTGTTGTGGCTGTGGAGCTGCAGTGCCACGTCAGGCACAGATGAAAGCAGGCACCAGCTGAGGAAGGCTGTGTTTAACAATCTGCTGTTCCTCCTGGTGTGCTTGTGCTTCGTCCATCCCCTCACCCTCTACAACAGGTTCACTAATATTTATCTACATCAAAATCCTTTCAGCTACATGGAAAGGTGTTACACACACATGAGCAATTCAGGGCATGCCTGAGAGAGTGCAGAGAAAGACACACAATTGCACCATTTATTCTGCCCCGTGGTTTAGCAAATGAACACTTGCTTTCCTGATCCTGAGAGCTTCAAGGAAAAGAACTACTAAGGTGGCCACTTTTCTGACACTCCTGCTCCAGAACCAAGGCCCAGCAGGTTTCTGTGGGAACCTGAATAATCTGGGCAGTTCCAAAGCTGCGCATTGCTGAAGCATCATCCCTTGGGTACGTGCATTTGGTACTTGCAGTACATTCAAAGGCAGTTTAAATCAGAATTGAGGCGACTTGGTGACAGCACAGCATTGGCTCAGGGACCTCAGGACCCTCAGCAGACAGTGTTCACTATGGACTCTCCATTCTCATCACTCCTTCTGTAGCATCCTCATTTCTCACTGAGACTCAGGTAAATATTTTTAAAGTGAGTTTTTAAAAACAGAGGGTTTGCCAGTGGAGGGGGCGAGTTGCAGAGAAACTGGGGAGAAGAAGGAGAGCATCAGGTGTTTGATGAGCTGCACCTTCTGGAATGCAGGGAAAAGTCACTCCTGGCAATTCCAGAGGTTCCAAAAGTGGGAAGAAGATGCTGAACGCAGCTGTGCTCACGGGGACAGACACGGGGACAGACGGGCAGCTCCGATCGGGCTCCCGAAGGCGGAGCTCGGCCCCTCCTGCCCCCCCATCCCCGGGGCACCGGCACCGGCCAACCCCGCCCACCGGAGGCACCGACACCGAGCGACCCCGCCCGGGGGGCGTGGCCAGCACGCGTGTGGGGGGCGTGGCCAGCACGCGTGTGGGGGGCGTGGCCAGCACGCGTGTGGGGGGCGTGGCCAGCACAGGTGCGGGGCACGTGGCCAGCACAGGTGCGAGGTGATTTAAACTCCCTTGAGGCGCCGCGGGCGCCATTTTGCAGCTCTGAGCCGAGGCGGCGGCTGCGGCTGCTCCGGGCTCCCCGAGCGGGGCCCAGGTAGGCGCGGCGGCCTCGGCCACCCACCTCTACCCCTCTGCACCTCTCCTTCCTCCCGTCCTTCCCCCGTACCTCCCTCTTCCCGCCACCTCTTTTCTCAGAGCCGGTCTCCCCCCTCCTTCTTCTCTCCTTCCTCCGCCCCTCCTGCTCCCCCTGTCCTGGCTCTCTCTCCCTTCTGTCCTGCACACCCCAACGCCCCCCGTACCCCTCCTCCTTTCTCT